CTGTAATTTGAAAATGTGGTCTTTTATATTTGGTCAGTAGGGCAGTCAAAAGTTTTAATCCTTTAAATTTCATTTCATTTTTTGGTTACATCTCGAACTTTCAAAGCAAATCGAAAAATATTTGTACACAGTTACAAAGTTCGCTTTATCAAAGATATTTCTTTACAAAAAAAATTTTTTTTATAATACTTATATTTTAATTAATGATAGTCTAATATATTTTGAATTGTGAGTATTAGAAAAGTTTTCGTCATTTTAAAGTATATTAATTTAAGTGTATGAATTACGTCATTTTAAAGTATACGAATTTGAAGAGAAATGGGCCAAATAGTTTCTGAGTTATCAGTTTTTAAAAATCTTTGACATAATTTTTTTTTCAAATAGTAAAAATTAATACATTAATAATAATAATAATACTTGTACTAAACTGTTACACTTTGGTTAAAATTAAAAGTTATCGATTAATAAATAAGATCAATAAATAATTAGTATTTATTAATCGATAAAATATTACTGATTAGTTACATTTTAGCTTCAAAAAAAGTTTCAGCTTTTATTTGAGTATCACGATTTTTAAACTAAAATTTTAGTAAATGAGTAAACTAAAATAATATTCGATTCCTAACTATTTGCTGCTCAGATTTTCATCAGTGATTTATTTTCATCAATTTATACTAGAAAAGTGGAAAATGATGGGGAAAACTTTAATATTCATCTGTTAGAACAAAAATACCAAAAAATCTACAAATAATTTATATTACAAAAAAAAAACCCAGAAACATTACGAAATTTGTGATCATGTCTCTGATATAAATGTAAGCCATAAACTTTATAATCATGAAATGGCGTTCTTCTTAGAACTTTTTTTTCACTTGTTCTGCAATAAAAATCCAATTTTCTCACTTAGCAAACGAAATACAAATAAAGCTATTTAGAAAGTATATTTTAGCCATCAAAAGTACACATTTTCCCACCCCTTTCTTCTTTTTTTAATATCTAAGAAATGTTCGTGAAGTCTGCAATGGGAGACAGAGATGCAATATTTTGAGTTTTATTGGTTGATCGGACTGGTTTTTATTACTGGGATTGATTGCTTGTTCTATAATAACGTCTGCAAAATAGTTCCAAAAGTTTAGTTGTTTTCGTACTTAGGGTTAATATCGTTTGGTTTTATTTTGTTTTAGAATAGTGAGTTCAAGTTCCTCTTCAAAATCTGAATTTCTTTATTGCTCTCTATGATACAATGTTGTGTCGTTAATTCCTATCTCGGAAAGTGCAACTAGCAATTTATAATTTTTTTTCAAACCAGTTAAAAGTTCTACAAAAGTATTTTTATAGTAGACAGAATAGAATAAGCAATATACATTTTGTGAAATGCATTATACATTTAAAAAGTAAAAGAAAGAGTAACTGTAAAATATATGTAGAACAGTAAAGATTTTGTTACATCATTACCATTTTTAATAGATTTTTGAAAATTAAATTAAAAAAATTATAATAAATAAACAAATAATTAAAAAGTTATTTAATTAGTATTTAATTAGTTAATTAATAATTTAATATTTAATTAATTAATAATAAATTGATTAATATTTAATTAATTAATGTATAAGTAATTTTATAATTAATAATCAATTAATTTATCGATTAATTAATGAAAAATTATTAATTAAATTACTTAAGTGGTCGCAAATTTAGGAGAAACAAAAACGCTATCAAAAATTTGTCGGATTTCTACGGAGAAAAATGGGATTTTAAACATCATAATTAATTGATTGCCTGATGAATTTTGAAGGTGTTTCCAATAACTACCTTTGAACTCATTTATGTTTTCTTCGGCAATCAAACACGTTATGGTGTTTTTGGCCTCACTTTTTAAAAATAATTTGTTAGATTTCCAGCTGCCCTTTTGTTTTTCATTCGTAGTCATTTGTCTAATATTCTAACCACATGCTTGTTCTTAGCCACCACAGCAAAGAACCATATTAATTTTACAGCATTAAACAATTCTGTTCGTTCGCTCAACTAGATGTTGAGATATATAAAATTCAAAATGTTATTTTATAAACTTAATTTTAATAGCAATCCTCTTTTTTTTTCTTGATAATACTGCATGCTATGTTTGTCTAATAAAAAAATTTTATCGACCACTATGACTACTACGTATGGAATTAAAGTAATTGCAAAAGATTAAAAATTAATTGGCAATCCCTAATGTATGAACATTTTTGGTTTCATTTTTGACAATTTTAAAACTATATATTATGGATAGACATTATAGAACACCCTATATGATGTTGCTGTATGCGTCGTAGGCTGTTTGGTAAATCGGGCTATTTGCAAACAATCGACGTCACTTTGCAATGCTCCTACAAGACTCACTGCAATAAGCCTAGCAAATGACGTTGCCAGTTTGCAAAAAGCAGATATCGTAATTAGCTGACTACATAAACATAAGCAAACTATGATAACTCAAGGTGAAATCATTAACTGCCGTACTTTCATATTATGTTATAATAAAGAGCTATTCTCTTTGTAAATTATTATGCTATAGTATAATAAAAACTTAAATGTGCTGTAAAAATATAATCTTTTAAAAAAAATTATCCCTGAACTTGAAATAACTCTTCCGCTGAACACTTTCAAGTGATAACGCAAGAATTCAACAGAAAACTTTAAAATAATTTCTCTTGTTACGAAATATTTACGAATATGTTGAATTTCAAAAGGAGTTTCAGTTATCTTACATTTTCCTGCTGCAGCGATTTTCCTTATATGTTATTCTTCTAAAATCGCCAAATCATTTCATTTCGAGTTGCAGTTGAATCACTTATCTGCACTACCGATTCCTCTTTTACTGTCTCTTGAGTTTGTTTACGCATCAACAAACTTTTTCCTCGTTATCATGACATCCTCAGTTTATTCAGTTTCCTTCAAGTTTCTCTACAAAAATCTAATTTTCATATCATTTTTTTCACACTCAAACTACTTTTTTCTCAACTCAGAATGAAATTCTTTTCCAGAGTTGGTTGTTCGCGTTCGTAATTTGCTCGTATAAGGAATACAAATGGTTTGTTCAACACAAAATTTAAGCAAATGAATTCTGTCAGTCAGTGCATCTAGAAATTTTAAAAATATGTTGAGTTTAATAGCTGAACAACTTTAGACTCAATATATGCTGCGTTATTGTGAAGTTAAAATACGTAGTTTTAGCTTAAAGAAAATAAGAAAATGAATCAGAATTTGCAATTTTTGACTGAAATAAAATTGGTAAAAACTTTATCAATGAGTAATAAAACTTAGATATTTTGAATCTTTAATGTTAATTTCTTTGAACCTTATTGTTAGGTTATATAGGTACAAACATGTTGTTGTTTTTTTTTTAAAGAAGGGGGGGAAGCGTGATAATGAGAACAATTTTATAAATTTGGCAAAAATGGTTGCTTCACCGTTTTGGACACATCTAATAAAAAAAAAAATTCTTATAATTTGATTCTATATCTTGTTCCTGAATGCTACATTAGCTGATAAAAAAATACTGTCTTTTAATAATATGTTTTTTTGAAAATAAACAGTTGATTTTGCTTAAATTTACCCCATAATATGAAACCTGCAGGGATAAGTCAAAAGATTAGTTATTTTATTTATCTTTTAAAAGGCATGCAACATTAAGGAAACTAATTTCAAGCTAAAGAAAAGCGTTTTTGATAAATATTCTTAGCAATGTTATTCATTGATTTCAGGTCTCGTAAATTCAATTAATCAATTTTGTTTAGTCACCAGTATCATCTGTCATCATTAATTGAATTTATTTACATATTATATACGTGTGTGAATTATATATCACGCTGGTCAAATAATTTTAAGGCAAATTTATTAAACCAAAAATGTAAAAAATCACGAAAAAAATTATGATTAACCTTTGTAATACTCTTTTTCTTACATATTTTCAAACTGATACACTGATTTATTGCATCCCTGATGCCTTTTTTTCTCTTTATTCACTCGCTGTATCAAAATTTTTTCATAAAAAAATATTAAATGACGATAACTGAAGTTCATTTCTACTTTCCCTTGGCTAATATACAGGGTGATATATATGGCGTTATATCAGGTGATCTGGGTGACCAAGGAATTGGACCTCCTCGCCCAATCCATCTTCCTGTCTCATCAGTCGTCGGTCTCATCAGTCGTATACTTAGACATGTTGGAAAACTTCGTATTTCCACAACTAGAAGAGCTTCAGCCACATGTCTTTTTGCAACAAGATGGTGCACCACCTTATTAGGGTATCATCGTTCGTAGTTCTTTGAATGACGAGGAGGTCCAATTCCTTGGCCACCCAGATCACCTGATATAACGCAGCTGGACTTTTTTCTTTGGGGATTTATAAAGGACAATGTTTACAGAATCGTGTCGAACATTGATGACCTAAAAGCCAGAATTACGACCGCAATAGCTTCTGTGGATGCCGACATGCTTGCCGCTACCTGGCGTGAAATTGACTAGCGACTTGATATTCTCCGTGCGACGAAGGGGGCACACGCGGAAGTTCATTAACAAGGGTCATGAAACTTTTCGAATCTATCTAACCGTTTATGCTGTTAATTTTAATCTATCTTTATTATTTTATGAGTTATTAAACATCAAAATGGGTCCGGGACTTTATAAACACCCTGAATATTAACCTTATAAAAATTTGATAAGAAATTTTTCGAAAAGTTAAGGATCGATATATAAACGCATCACATTTTTAAACTTTACACTAACTTATATTATATATATATATATATATAAAGAAGTACGTGACAGATGAAGTTTGATTTTTTGTTATATGAAAACGATTTAATGGTTTCACATGGTTACGAACAATTATTCTAATTTTTTGGGTGTTTTCCAATTAAATTTTCTAGAACTGTTTCAGGGAGACAAAAATATACTTCCGTTTGTGGCGCTGAACTAAGTGCCTGTCTATGGCTACCGCTTACCTTGTAACCTAGCAACCAATTTCATAAAAGGCTGTGTCACCGTCTGGGGTGGTTTCCCTGTCGGTTCCTCATTTAAGCATGAGCGGGAAATTTAGTTTCGCCATGGACGAGTCGTTGAGTTTAGTTCGATATAAATTTCTAAATTATTTATAAACTTATTTTTAAGTGGTTTTTTATCGTAGTAGGAGATCAATATATTTAACCTAAGTGATTGACATCGAAAATGGATAATAATTAAAATGAAATGATACCAGAGGAATTCATTTTGATTACCAAAATGAATTTATGATAATCTGCAAAACTTTCTCCCTGATTGAAATTTTTTTTAAAAAATGGGATTGAGATGCGTAGAACACACATTGTTCGTTTTGTTATGCTCTGGATGTGTTACCGCATGGTTTAATTTATTTGTCAGTAGAACGGAAGGAAAAAGAATTCTAGGTAAGTTTTTGGGCATGGTTTAAGATTTACTTAAAATATAAATACTAAAATATTTTACTGTAATATTTATCGACCCTAAAATTATCTATCTATTAACGCCTGACTTTTTCTTGAAATCTCTATTAAAAAAATTATGTTTAAACAGAGAAGTGAATATTTTTTATGCTACGACCTCCTTAAAATAAGTTCCAACAGCATTATTTATGTAGTATTAAGATTTTGGTGAGATTTAAGATTTTTATATCAGCTCATAAGTTGTAGTTAAGACAATAGAACATTGTCAAAATAAATGTTAATGGTTAACCACAAAATTTTTTATCTTTATGAAAGAAAAATTAGGAAATGTCCTCATTTGATGATGCTGTGCAATAATGGGTTAAAAGAGTTGCTGTTACCTTTACTGTGCTTTAATTGCTTAGAGTGGTGGTTGAAAAACAGAGTAAAAGCATTATAGTGTGCAGAATAGTTTTTGAAAATTTTCAGTAGTGCTTGTATCTTATGATCATCACCGCATTATAAAAAGTTATTTACATACATGCTTGAATTATTTTTTCTGGCGTGGCAATCAAAGCCATTTTAAATCAGATTTTAAAAAGTAGACAATCAAATATTGTGAATTTTTTATACCAACTGGTAAAAATTCTTCCTGAAAAGGCATGGAAGTTGGCAACTATCATTATATGGTTTACGACTATCAATGATCAATTCCGTAGTCTTGCATTTCTGATTACAGAACTACGTAACAAGGTGAATCCCGAATCAAACGTTGATACAAACTAGCGGTCAGGTACGGCATTCTTTTAATGGAAATAACTCGTATTTGCGCTACTTTGACAGCAACAAAAAATCTCTAATCCATAAACCGTCTATGACTGAGAATATTTTCTCAATTGCACTTGATTGATGCATAAATCGCATTTATCAGTCATCGGTTTGTATTCGAACCTAGGTCACTTCATTGAGCTCCTTACAGCCTGAGCCACCGTGACTCTCTGTCAATTGATTTTATTATATTTTATAACCATCGTTGAACAGCTGACCCAATTTTTTGGGTTTATGACTGCTAATCTTCAAGTTCGTAGCCTTGTTATTTTGAATTCAATCCAGAAGACAAGAGAATTCCCAGATCAAGTATTGGGCGAAATTTGCCTTTCATGGAGGACTTTTAGGTGGAACTAACCCTCATTTGCGTTACATGGAACGGAAAAACACGAAAACTCCTGCGGTTAGCCTGACGGCAAGTGGACACTAACCCAAGATCGGTCTATCACTGAGGATATTTTGCGTCAGCACTGTGGTTGGTTCACGCCAGATGCGGAATTCGTATCGACCAGCCATTGTTGGGATTCGTACCCGGTTCACCTCATTGGAAGGCAAACGCTTTATCCCCTGAGCCATCATGGCACTCTGTCAAGTGATTTGATTTTATTTTATAACCGTCGTTGAACAGCCGACCCAATTTCATGGGTTTACGACTACTAATGTTCAACTCCGTAGCCTTGTAANTCATTCACTACACGAGGAGTTTTCGGCAGGCAGGGATCGAACCCACGACCTCTTGGAGATGGGCCCAGCGCCCTACCGACCAGGCTATCCCGCCCCCTCTGTCAAGTGATTGAAATAATTTCGAAACGAATGACATTAACTTTTCATACTTTACTAGGTGTGTTTATAGTGCGAGCGACAGTGTAAATTTTTTACAGCTGAATATCTATTTTTTGCAAGTAGTAAAAAAAACCTCTTGTTTTACAAATAAATATAACTTCTTTCTTAAATAAAAGTTAAAAAAGTATAATTCTGAAAAAATATAAATTCCGTTCTTAAATAAATTCTGGTGTTGGAGTTTTATAGGTTTTCAGAGCGGTTGGTGATGTATTTTTTCCCTATAAATTAAACAGTTAACAATTCGAAAACTAACTATCAAAATTCCTTTCACCGAATTACTCTCTGTACTTTTTTCAGCACACCATGATATTTTCAAGTTTCTAAACCTCATAATTTTAGAGCAGCAAAATAAAATGTAACGTTATATTAGACCTTCAAAACTGTGGCATACTGGCTTTTTTTTAAAGGAAATTCGAAGACATAGATAATTGTTACATTTTTATATGATGCATAATTAAAAAAAACTTTGAATACTAAATTAATTATACAATTTTCACTATAATATATAAACACTGGAATGCAATTTAGTTACTTCTTAAAACGTGTATGCATTCTTTTAGTTTCTCTTTTTTAAATTTATTATTCAATAAATAAAAAAATTCACAATTCTGCTAAACCCAAACAATTCTGCTATTCCTAAAGTTTTTAAAAATTAAAAAAATTTTTTTTTTTTTAAATTTTGATAATGTTAAAACAATTCTATTTAAATCCTTTGTTTTTAACAATTTTAACAATTTTTCAATTAACTTAACAATTATTAATTTTTTTCAATTATTTTAACAATTCCATTTATTTTGTATAAAAATATTCATCTTTTAATATTGTAACAATAATTGTATATACTAAAATTTATATATTCACTTTATATATTTAATATAAAATTTTTATACTACTTATTAATTAATATTCTTTATGTAGGATTGAATGCTGAGTTGCGTTATGTAGACAATGGAACAGTTAATGATTATGCCCTTGGATTTTCAATAATGGTTCCGGAACACGTATGGGAATTATTTTTCACCTGGAATAGCTTAAAGCCCACACCAGTAAGATTTGACATGACTCAAAATAATTAATTAATAATAAAGAAATTTTGTTCTATTTCTATTGCAGATGAAATGTGCTCCATAATTGACTTAAACGGTCCTCAAATCCTATGAAGTCCATTTAGTTTAGGTCTCAAAAAGTAAGACAAGACTAACTCATCTATATTTCTTGTTCAAAGGCCTAAGAGATAAAGACATCCATCTGTTAATGAATTTGATCATGGATAAATCTTCCGCTAGACTTCCGCAAAACTAATTTAGTGGAAGATATTTAACCTTCTGCAAAAGTTCATCTTCACCAAAGAGAAATATTTCTAATTATGTTATTTATTAAATAAATTTCTTTCGAGCTTTTGTTCAAAAGAATCTTATGGAGCTCTGTGCTTCAGCTTAAGTCTATTAGCTCGAGTGTCTTAAAATTAAGTGTAAAGAAATTCATAAACTAAATCATAATGAAATGGAATAGGAGAAAAAATATTCATCTTCCAGAAAAATGAATTCAAATCAATTTCAGTGTGATTTAAGTATTCAAAAAAAGTGCTAATGTTAGATAATGTATTTATTCTTATCACGGTTTTTATAATTCAAAATTTTAATTATATTTAGTTTTAAAATCGTTGATGTCTGATTATTTTATTTTAATGAATTTTAAAATTTATTTTGTTAAATTACTTTTAAATTAAATTTCAATTTCAATTTTTTTATTAATTTTTTTATTTTATTAAATTTTGTATTTATTTGTTATGTATTATGTTATGTGTTTTGTATTATATGCTTATTAAATTTTAATTTTAAAATTTTTTTTATTTTATTGAATTCAAACTTTTAAATTTATTATTTAAATTATGTTTAAATTGAATCTTAATTTTATTTTTTTTATTATTTATTTTATTATATTTTAATTTAAAACTTATTTCCTTTAATTTATTAAATTTTAATTTTAAAATTTATTTTATTAAATTATTTTTAAATTAAATTTCAATTTAAAATTTTTTCAAATTATTTATTTTATTTTATTAAATTTTAATTTCAAAATTTATTAAGCTGTTTTTAAATTAAATTTAAATTTCAAATTTTTTTTCAATTACTTATTTTATTTTTTTAAATTTTAATTTTGCGAAATGAAAATTGCAATTTTAATTACGATAGTTAATTTTGGCTAGAGACGACTGACACAGTTTTGCTTTGCGACGTAAGTTATTGAACTTAACTTAAGTTATTGAACTAAAACTTACACCTTCTATTTCATAAAATAAGCATTTTCATTTATATATGATCTTGCAAATGACATTTAATTCGTAAAGAAAGTATCTCGAAATAGCAAACAAGTTCAATTAGAGAGAGAAAAAATAAAAACATTAAATAACTTTTGATCTAATCATCGGATTTTCATATCAAATTGTTATTTTAATGATTTACTGAATTTAACAGTACACGTTAAATATTCAAATTATCTCAACATTTATGATAAACAATGAGACACAAAAAGGTCTTGCTATGAATAAGCAACTTCCAATTCCGAGGAAATTTGATTCTTGCACAATTCGTGCGTTTCGTGTGAATATCGCACGAAACTTCAGCGTGAACGAAATGACTAAAACTTAAAAATACTTTGAAAAGTTTTAACATTTTTCGTTTTTGAAAGTTTTTTTTCTTCTATTTACCACCACAAATGCACATCATGCCAAAAGTAATAGCCGATTATGAGGAATATATTCTAGTTGTAAACAATCTCTGGTAATTTCATAATTTCATCTGATGATAAAACTGGTCGTAAATCCGCGCTTTCACTTTCAGCAACAAAGCTATTAGTGGATCTATAATTTTTCTTCCTTTTAGGATATAGCTTTTAGATTAATATTAAGTTATAACTTAATATTTATTGAATAAACAGATAGTTCTATAGATACTAGACTGTAAGGAATTCAGCCGTTGCCTGCTATAACAGTAAATATAGTCAAACCCAGTTATAGTGAACATGGTTTATAGTGAACTGTCGGATATAGTGAACGAAATGTCCTTACTATGCACATATAATATTATTTTTTGTGGATATAGCGAACGAAAAGAAGGGAGGAAATTGGATATTATGAACTTTTTTCTGTCTTCAACTGATTTGTTTTCTTCATATTTTGGTAATTTTGAAATTTCCGCACAAAATACATACACCGATTTTTAAAACCATCTATTGAGTAAAATGTAGCCATAAGCATTTTTTCTTGTTTGCTTCTTCTATCTCAGTTTCACATTCCTAAGTATAGGCGATCCCTAAATTTTTTGTACGCAAGACGAAGAGTAATAAAAATAAAAGGTAACACATATTTTTTTTGTTACTACATATTAATTTTTAATCGTTTTTGTATTTTTTTATTGGTCATTTATTTAAATAATGTGTAGTAAAAGGGAGCATTTCGGAAATTTTTTTTAAATTGTTTGCAGTAGGGATATAGTGAACTCCCGGTTATAGTGAACAGATATTTCGGTCCCTTTGAAGTTTCACTATAGCAGGGTTTGACTGTATTTTATTTGCATACCTTGTATTATATTTGCTTTTGCAAAATAATTTGCTTCTTAAATTTTTTTTAAGTGTTTCCACCATTAAATTTTAGATTTTCAACAAAAATTATCATTGAAAGTTGATTGAATATATATCTTATAAGAGAATTTCAAGCAAAAAATTACAACTTAACATCAAATAGATTCATTATTATTAAGCAGAGTGCAGTGATGACGGCCATACTAACACACATATGTAAATTAAAACGGACAATAACAAGATTAATTTAAAATTAATGCACTTTGTAAGCACTTTCACTAGAGTGTATATAGTGTTTGTAGAAGAACATGAAATTATCTTTCCTAAAGTTGATGACACTATAATTTTTTTTTTTAGATTCCCTACACCATAGATATAGGTGTGAGCAACTATGAGGCAATGATGAGACCACAACTAAATATCACTCGAAAAGGATTCGTGCCTATGCATTTAGGAAGTAAATCTGTCTTTTTACTTTCTTAGCAATTGAGTTATTTTTTGAAGCAATACGCTAATTTATGTATTTTATCTTCTTACTGTTATAATTTCGCTTAATATGTATTTGTTGAAACCTTATTGGAAATGAAGTCAAATAAATATAAACATACTTGGGAACAAACAATTTATTTAACCAGTGAATCTCTTCGTATAAAATTGTTTTGCAATTATTTCTTCGTATAGAATCTCACAATTGGTATTCCTTTGGTTAATTTTTTTTCAAGCACAAATAATATATTCTATACAATTGTTATTTTTCAAACCAAAGTGATCCTCTATTTCGTTCCATTAGCAAAATATTCTTGGATAAAGCTACAATAATTATATATTTTTAAACCAAAATGTTTAGCGGTTTTGTGGGAAATATTTGTGTTTTAGAAGAAGTAAACAATGATGAATAAGAAGCAATTACGAGAGTTGGCGAGAGGATCGAATCCTTCTTGTTTATAGAACTAATAAGAATGTACAGAAATATTTAAAAACATATCTCACACTTATATTTCAAATGGCTTCCTAACAATATTTGTTTTTATTTTTTCAATCAGAGTTTAACTGTACACATTTAAAAACCATGAAAAAAAGTTGAAATTTAATATGTAAATCTTATTACAATGCATTAATCATCGACCTCATTTAAAAAATTTATGAGCATTTATTTTATTCAAAAATACAAATCAAAATAATTATTTGTAAGATTTAAATCTGTAAGTTTTAAATATCTCCTTAATGAAAATAATTTTCATCATTATTAGCTCATGGTTATCTGTATTAGTGTATAATTGCTTGTAACAATTGCACAATTTTTTATTATTTAGTGAAATAACTTAAAGTTATGTACATATTTCTTGCATTATTCCTATCAATTCATGTTTTCAATTGGAAATTTCTGTTAGTAAAATTACTATAGTTTTTACCAGAGCGATGCATTTTAAAGACACAAAATATCTTAATATTACTGCATATTAATAACTAATATGCAGTATACATGAGGGTAGTATGCTGTATTGTATACTGATACTGTTTATTAATGCTGCGCAATAATATACAGTATACATACGAAAATGAATACAATTTCATATAATTCCATCACTTTTTCAGAACATTTTGAAATTTGCAATAAAATTTTTAATGCTCTTTATTTTTGATTTTAAAACAATAGATGTAAGTAGGTTGCAAAAAGTAATTTAAGGGTTTCATTTTTCTTGAGTGATACTATTACGAGCTAAAATTATTATTCAGCTATAAAATTTCCTTTTAATAACAATAATTACCTGGATAACGGTAAAATAAAATTTAAAAAAAAAGCTGATTTCGAGTAATGTAACAAAATTTAGTTGGTCGTTAAATGTAATTTTAAATTACAATAAAAATGAAACAAAAAGAAAATTCACTTATAACCGATAAACTGTGTATATAAATTGATGACTTTTAATAAAATTCACTTAGAGAAATAATACAATTACCCGAAAACAAAGTAGTGTACATTTATAAAAAGAATAATTGACCGTACTTTTAGCTTGAAAATGTCTTTGGATGCATGAACTTTCACAATTTTAATTTGCTCAATTAGTTCTTAAGATAGGGTACAAAACTCATAAAATAAAGTTTAAAAAAAAGAACGAAAGGATACAAAACGTATGACGGAATTTTTTGAAACTGTATTTTCGAAATTTAAAAAAAAGAAGAGAAGAGAATCCGTTAACGGATTTTCGATTTTAAAAGCTTGTTAGCTCATCTTCATGTATCTCTTTATTATATTTCTACCCGGTCAAAAATTAAGCACTTTTTAATGGGAAAATGTGACGTTTCTCAATTCTCAGGCATGTTTTTTGCTGTTTGCTATATTTTCGATAGCTGGTATTTCTAAAATCACGAAGATGTCATTTAAGATCTCCTATTAATTTAATTAACCCAAATTTATACTTTAATTAATCTAATTAAGCTCAATTCCAAGTAATATAAGTAACTTATAAATAATACAAATAATACTAATTTGCTGAAAAAGGCTACTAAAGAATTTAGATTGTATATCAGCGCTTGATATATCAGAAATTATTGAGGGTTTATTTTTGCGTACATTTTCTGTATATTATATTATTGTACTGATTTTTTCTCAGTATATTCTACACATAATAAGTACCATTTTCTGTTTTAGCATTCCGATTGTTGCTGCGATGTACTGGAAAGGTCGATGCAGAAGTAGGAATATTTATGAGAATGAATTTTTCGATGCCACCTCCTTTTCCTGAATCTATTTACTTCACACTGAAAAGGAAGAAGATATGCCACATCAGTAATTTGACTTCACCTATATTATTATAGAAATATTTAATAACTAACTAATAATAACTGTTAAAGATAAATTCACTTTGTTACGATATACATATACTTATAACAGAAAATTTTTTCATAAAAATTACTATTTATATATATATTTTTTAAATTTATTTAATTTCTTATGAAATCAATTTTAACTATAGATATAAAACCAATAATTACGACTTTTTTGCCAATTTTATATCCTATGAGAGCACATAAAATCGACAGATATATGAAAATTTGCGATATTGTATGATTTATATATATTTAAAACAGTTATGTCAAAAATGGTTACACATTCGAGTTTACTTTTCAATAACTAAGCAATAAAAATAATTTTTAAATTTGTTGAATCACTGTTGACGAAGACGGACAGAAAGGCATCAAAACCAGTTTGAATGCTGGATGAAGCCTAAAGATCTTTCCGATAGCTGCTTTTTACCTCCTCTCTACTTCTCCCTGTAATCAAAATAGTCTTGATGTTTTTAATCTTGCTTTTTTGTTAATAAATACATATAACCTAAAACATTGGTTTTGATATCGCATTTCTCATTTCTTCTCTCAAATATTAATTTGGCTCCTTTATTGTTTCTTTTTTGATGACATCTTTTACAAGAATTGTAAAAATATGAATCTTCTTGAGATCTGAGCCTTAAATAAAGGCAGAAAACTGATTTTTACTTAGGAATATGTGGTTTAAAGGACAGTAAACTGATTTTTACTTAGGAATATGTGGTTTAAAAGACAGTAAACTGATAAAGTCTATTATATATTTTTTTTAAAAATTAAATTAATAGAACTAATTAATTAATTTTTAATTTAATTGAATTAAATAATATTTTATTACATTTTACATAAAATTCTTATATTTTAATTTCCACATTTTTAGCGTATTGTAGAATGTTTTTATAGTGTATTTCTTCATATTTTAGTCATGAAACAAAATTTACTATGGACTGCTCAATACTACTTACTGTTTTAATTTACTGTGCAATAAGATATACATATGATATAAAGCGATTATAAAAATTACGATTATAAAATTTACCTACCTTTCTTTTCTTTTCTGTGATTTTTTTTTTTTGTCGACCGAAAATGCTAAATTCAGTCATATTTTTACATAGACATTCGCCTTGTAAACTCATTAAAGAGAAAAATTTTTTAAATATTATTGAAATGATAAAAGTGTACTAAATACACCCCAATATACTGGACGATGAGAGATTAAAAGTAATAAATTGACAAATAAATAAAAAAAAGTCTTGAGATCTGTTCGAATTTTAAAACTAAAGTAGCTCGTATTCTTTGACCCAGAGAAATAAAAGAGACATTTTATAAAAATAAAAATAAAAATAAAAAATATATCCTAAAATGAAAGACGCAAAATATTTGTATAAAAAAGTTGCTTATTTCATATGACTTTTCGAAAATGAACAGTGATAGGTAAAAGGAGAAATTGTCTACTATACTTAATTATAAATTTTCATTTCTTTTGTTTTCGCCATTTATTGCGGTTTTACAATAAGGTTTACTTATTAATCATAGCTTTCGGTTGCTTTATAGAACCGTTTTGCTAAAATAATCCTAATATAACTTAAAATGGGCATACTTTTTAATGATATTTTTAAGTTTAAACATAACAAGGTTATAGGACTTAAAAAAATAGGACTGTGAAAATATACGACTGTTGATAAAATTAAAATAAATATTGAATGAATGTAATAATGCACAGCAAATGCTTTCCAAAGAAATTTAAATTAGAAATAAAAATCACTGAAGCAAGCAAATTAACATTTCAAACTATTGTAACTAGTATAACGTTTTGTAAACTATTTTACGACTTAGCATAAGGCAGCTATTCTAAATTTCCATAACTTGTCACATTAATCACGTGAATAACCATTTTTCATTATATAATGCCATTTGTTCCTACCGAAGTAAAGAGTTTAAAATATTTTCAACTTAATGTCCGGTAATCTGATAATTTTTAAAAATCTGACTTTTTAAAATGAGTTTTAAGTAAAAAAAAATTTCGAATGGATTGGTCTTTTGGTGTTTGTCATCTTTCATGCTCTTCTGACTGCTGTTAACAGTTAGACCACCGAAACGCTTTTAAAAAAAAATTTATTTGAAGTATTTGGTATTTTTAATTTTCACCATTTTTCTTTTACGTGGAAAGTTTAATGTTTTATAAAGCATTAAATATTTCTTATTTGCTACGTAAATAGAAAATAATTTCTTCAACTGCTGTTTTTGGGCCAGGGAGTCATTAAGGTTGAGGATCAGCTGTTAAACTTTTTAACAGTTTAGTATTTTCAATTTAAATGAAGATTAGAAGAAATGAAGTGTAAAAAATTTCTTCGGGATACAAAGCATTTTGTACTTTTATTTTGTATTTAAGAAAATATTTGATGAAAAATACTTATTTACTAAGTTCATTTATTTATTCTATTAATTTTTTTAATTTTGTTATTACCTTTTTTTTCATCTTTGAAATTTAGCCTGTTCCACAGCACCGAGTGCTTAGAGCCCGCTCCAAACTTCTTCAACATTTGAAAAGTTTATCGTTTACGGTTATTAATTGTTTAGCAGTTGAATTTTCAATTGATTTAATTCAAAATTCAGTTTAATAACGCTATTCCATCATTATTTGTTTATTTTCTCATTCTTATTCTTCGTTACGTTAAAGTAGTTCTTTTTTTTATCAATTTTAAATAATTCTTTTAGAAAATTAAACTGTAATAAAAAAGTTAAAAACTTAAGGAATAATGAAATACAATTCACGATTTTTGCGAACTTAGAGAACATTTCTACTAAATGTGATTTGATTGTACTACTTTAAATCCTCCCGCCAAATTCTTAATTTCTTATTTTATATGAACTTTTATTTTGATAAAAAAAACGGTTTAGCGTTATAAAATATTGTATTAAAATGAATATATGATTGGTATTAAAATGAAAAGTTTGATTTAAAAGCATTTGAATTTCTCACAAAATCGTTAATTTATAACAAAAACAGATGAAAAGAACCTATCCACTCATGTCTTAAGATGAAAACCGATTAAATTTCAGTTTGTTTTCGAATGCCACTGTCAGAACAATTTGGAACCAGCTCTATAAAAGCTCCGTTTTAGGGAACTGACCCAGTATCTCTCAACAGCCCATTTAAATCAATAATTTCTAATAAAATAATTAAATTTAAATTCACAAACAAATTTAAATTCACAATTATTTTTCAGGAAACAATACTTCAGGTGACAGTCTTACAATTGGTAAGTTTAAAAAATTTTACTTTTTTAATCTTACTTGACTTATTTCTAAAAGCATATTATAAATAAATAAGTAAAAACACTTTCTCTATTTTTTAAAGATTGTGCCTTGCTTTAAAAGAATTTCATTCAAAGTGCATTCATGTCTTAAGCTTACGCTCTAAACGATATTTACGTTTTAAAAATATAACCAATTTTTAACCCTCTAACTATAAACTACTCTGCGATATTTGTTCAAAGATTCTTATAATTAGTCAATTCATTAAGGCATTTAAAGAATAGAGAAAACAATAAGGATCTAATGTTTATTCTCTATGAAAATTTGAAAAAAAAGACACTCTAAAATACCTTAACTGAAAATTCGTTTCTTAATCTATCATCATGCTAAATTTCGTAGCTTTAAGTATCCTCCCCAAATCAACAGAAGCAAAAACACAACAATGTGTAATGTTACCAGATGCCCAAAACAGTGAAAACAGTACTGATTTAAAAAATCTATTAAAAAGATGCAAAGATACAGAAATGCACTGCTTGCTGTCTTCTGCTTAGGAAACAATAAATTTAACTAATCCAAGTTTTAAAATCGATTAAGAAAACTGTAAGCAGATGGTGCATTTAATTTTGTCCTCAGACTGCGCTGCGTTGTTCTGTAAATGGTAGTTATTTTTTAAATAAATTGTTTTATAATTTTTCCTAACTGGCCGCGATCAGATGATTAACTTCGAAATTAATTTTAAAACTCTGTGAAAATAAATAAACCAGCTTCCTAGGCAAAATGCAGCTGATTGTATATTTTTATCACCTTAAGTTTTTAAGTTCACTGAGAAAAAAAAACTATACTGAAATCTACCAAAATATGTTAAAATTTACCATTTTTATGACTCTATGGGAACACGATAAACCTGGGTAATTTTTACCGAAGCTCATTGACAATGATTTTGGTAAAATTAACCACAAAACATGGTTTCATAATATGTGATAGAATTTGACAATTTGATTATTTTATAATGATTCCTTATGGCAGGGCATTAAAAAAATATTTATTCGGTTAAATTTACTTTCCAGTTTTGTATTTTTTACTAAACGTTTGGTAACAAGAACTATAATTTTAAAAACCAGAACTGCGGTAAACTGTTATCATTTAAACAGAAAAATTACGAAATAAATGATTTAAATACGGTATATTTAGGTTTTATCAGCCAAAACTATGCTTTTTTTGTTGTTTTGTTTTTACTTAAAAAATTCCATTTTCATACAATACGGTGGTTTTACCAATTATGGTTTTCTCCGCGTTTATTTAACAAATTACCAGTCATTTTTGGAGAGCAAATAGCGCAGTATGACAAATCGTTTAAGGATATCAAATAATTGCAACGTATTTTATGAATTTAAAAAGAATCTTGCAAACTTTTTCTTTTACCTTTAGCTGATGCAATGATTGACACAACTGGTTCCCTGTACATTGCTGTTGGTTTCATAAGCGCTTTTATTCTTATAGTAGCCATGGTGGCTGTATTGTGCTATGTGAGAACAGTAAAAGCTCGGATGTCAGATGTCATACAGTAAGTCTATACTAAAAATATATTATATTCAAAACAGTTTAATCACAATAAAAACGTAAGTATACCAGGGCTTAGATATTTTTATACGGAGAAATTATTTTTTTATGAAGACCATGTAGAGGCACATCCGTAATCAATTCCTTTAGCATAACATTTTAGACTCGCTGCCAAAATTTAAATCCAGAAACCATGCAAATTTAAATATCACTAATTAATGCACTATTGGAGCAGACCTACAATCAAAAATGTGATAAGAAACCAATAGGTTTTATAATGCTGATTTCAGGAACAATAGTGAAAACAGTATCAAGTATTCTTTCTTCAGCAAATCGAAAATTTTGATTTCCATAGCCACGCATCCATAGTATTATAACCTACTAAAAATAAAGGGGGATAAATTAATGCCATAAGTTGTGAGTACCTACTGCCAAAAATTTGTGGTATTATGGGTAGTCTGTGATTCGATCAAATAAAAACAAATTTTCAGGTACAAATTTTAACTTTTTCTAAGTAGATTTTAGATCAAAATAGATTTTATTGGAGAGAAGAGACTGAAATATTTCGATCTAGACAAAAGAGGTATCATTTAATGAATTTTATTAAGCTGAATCGATTAAAAGCAATCTGAAGTTGATAGGACTACAAGCTTAGAAGTCATTAATATTTTATATATAAAAAGTACATTTTGATCTCATTTGTACTTTTCGCATTGACTTAGACAATTAAATACTTCTAAGATTGCTATCAAGATGTATAAGATATCAAATCTTACGTATTAAGTCTAATAAAATCAAAATTAGATAAAACTAAAAGTATAAAAGAAATGCGGGTTTCATATATTAGAGTTACACTCTTTAATTTATGCCCGAGCTTCCAAACACAAAACCCTTACAGCTTCAGTACTGTAGCTCCATTTATTAATTTATTCTTCGTTTTATCGGTTTTATAAGAAATATACGAGGGTTGTAAATTAAATAGTGGCAACTTAACCTTGAAACTCACAGAAGGGCGGGCATGCGCATATAGGATTTGGGAGCGCTGAGGTGGCGCTGTTGTCGATGTGTAGAGTGCTAAAAACAGTCGATTTGCTTAGAAGGGTAGTTGTTGTGTGGCGTTAAAGTGAGGAGCTTCGTTTCCATCGCTCCAAAGCATGTTTTCAAAAGGTGATCAGCAGTCGTGGCTCAAAATCGAAGTTGCCCGTGGCAAAAATGCAACAGAATGCTATCGAGGATTAGTGGAAACCTGCGGTGCAAATGCTTCACCGTATAGGACAGTAGCACGATGGGTTCAAGCATATCGTCTTTTTTCATCATTAAGCCTTTTGAGAACATGCTTTAGAGCGATGGAAACGAAACTCCTCACTTTAACGCCATGCAACAACTACCCTTCTAAGCAGAACGAATGTTTTTTGCACTCTACACTTCGAAAACAGCGCCACCTCACCACACCAATACCCTATTTGCACATGCCCGTTCTTCTGTGAGTTTCAAGGTTAAGTTGCCACTATTTAATTTACAACCCTCGTACATGAAACAATAACATTTCTATTTAGAATTCTATTTAGAAAATTTTTTGGCATAACTATATAAAATTAGTACTATCCCAATATGCGATCCACCAGGTATTTATTATGAATGGTTGAATTTTTATTTTTATTTTTTAGCTTTAAGATTAAGTACCACTGTCCAGTATACCATATATTTATGTTTTCTAAGGTTAAGTGCCCCTGCCTGGTATATATTTGCCCGGTATACCCTACACTGATGCCTCCCAGAATACTGTAACATTCTATACTATAGTTGCGCCAACTATTGATCAGGGGCAGATCGCATATTGGGACAATACCTGTACTTTTGTACAAAATAACTCCTTCAACTTTTAAACTACCAGCCCCAATGACTTTAATTTTATCTCCTTCAATTCAGCGTAAAATTTTTTTCAAAACGACACCTCACTTATTCTTATACGAGGGGCATCCAGAAAGTAAGTTTCTCTATTTTTTTTTAAAAAANAGCACTTATTGCAGCGCGTGGTGGCTGCACCAAATACTGATTTCGGACGCTTAATTTGTTTCTTTTGTTTTGAAAATTTCATCATTTATTTGTATCAGTACAAGTCGTTTCTGCATTAAATTTCATTTGATTCTGATGATTCTTTCATGGTGTTGCATTTTCTACAAACAGCAGTTTATATATATATACATATATTAGAGTTACACTCTTTAATTTATACCCGAGCGTCCAAACACAAAACCCTTACAGCTTCAGTACTGTAGCTCCATTTATTCTTAGTTTTATCGATTTTATAAAAAATATACATGAAACAATAACATTTCTATTTAGCATTCTATTTTTAAAAAAAATTGGTATAAATATATAAAATTAGTACTATCCCAATATGCGATCCACCAGGTATTTATTATGAATGGTTGATTTTTTTTTTTTTTTTAGCTTTAAGATAAAGTACCACTGTCCAGTATACCATATATTTATGTTTTCTAAGGTTAAGTGCCCCTGCCTGGTATATATTTGCCCGGTATACCCTACACTGATGTTTCCCAGAATACTGTAATGTTCTATACTGCAGTTGCGCCAACTATTGATCAGCTAAATAACTACACTGGCGGATCGCATATTGGGACAATACCTGTACTTTTGTACAACATAACTCCTTCAACTTTTAAACTACCAGCCCCAATGACTTTAATTTTATCTCATTCAATTTAGCGTAAAAATTTTTTCAAAAACGACACCTCACTTATTCTTATACGAGGGGCATCCAGAAAGTAAGTTTCCCTATTTTTTTTTAAAAAAAAAAGAACTCACACTTTCAGAAACATGTACAACAATGTTTCTGAAAGTGTGAGTATGTACAACAATTGTACAACATGTACAACAATTGGCAACAAGTACAGCAATGTTTCAGCTATTTTTTAACATAGCCACCACCAGAATTGAGACACTTGTCGTATCGAAAAATCAATTTTTGTATCCCTCTGTCGTAGAACTTTGCCGCCTGTGAATGGAACCAGCGTGTGACAGACGTCTGCGGCTCTTCGTCGTTGCCAAAACGCTCACCGGAGAACAGGAATTTTTTGAGGTGCAAAAAAGAAGTGAAAATCGCTGGGAGCAAGATCAGGACTGTAAGGTGGATGATCAAAAAACTTCCGTCAAAACAGCTGCTGTGCGTCGAGCCGTATGTGGACGAGCACAACACCTGCACTAAGCATTCCACGCCTCTTGTCTTGAATGGCACGTCGGAATTTCTGCAGTTCCGTTGAAGACGTCTGTCACACGCTGGTTCCATTCACAGGCGGCAGAGTTCTACGACAGAGGGATACAAAAGTTGATCCCACGATACGACAAGTGTCTCAATTCTGGTTGTGGCTAAATTGAAAAATAGCTGAAACATTGCTGTACTTGTTGTCGATAAATATGTTCCTCAAAGTGTGAGTTTTTTTTAAAAAAAATAGGGAAACTTACTTTCTGTATGACCCTCGTAGTAATGGCTTAGTTTCTTCTTCGCTCCATAATGGGTAAAATATTCATTTTTCACCTTATATTTAAACCCAGTTCGTGAAAAATTCTTATATGACTGAAAAAGTAATGGATACCAACAAACAATATTAAAAATTAGGTATCGTAATAATTTTTTCAAACTTCAAATTTTGCAAGCCTGTGCATTTAAGCCAGGAAAAAAAAACTTATCGAAATCGAATTATTCATTGTTGAAGAAAACGTAATGAAGATCCTTTACGTCAATTAAATTGACGGGTGAAACTTGAAGATGTTTCTAATAATAACCCTACCTCCGGTCAGTATCATCAATCAGTTTCACAGTTGTGTTGGGCCGGGGTAGCCTGGTCGGTAGGGCGCTGGGCCTATGTTCAAGAGTTCGTGGGTTCGAACCCCACCGGCCGAAGAGTGATTGATGCACGTTAAATCTGTCGAGTCGCAAAAGTCCTCCATGTTCCCATAACAAATCAATACCTCTGGGTGTACTGGTCAATCGTTCTTTGATTCAGGTCAAAATTACGATCTGTGGATGAATGAATGGATGTATGAACGGGTCCGCCCTATAAACGGGTGTGACGAATGATGTGACAGAAGTCGAATTCTTGGTCATAGATGGCGCCACTGGAAAACAAAAACAATCGCACTCCCTCTGCCTAGACAGGCATAGGTCAACAACAATTATGTTTCTTGTTTCGCTCTTTTCGTTAATCCCTCGGAAATTTCGATAGCATATTTCTCTCCTTGCTTTAATATTAATAGGTGATCTCAATTGTGCTTGTTTTTATTACTTCATTTCTTTAAATAAATCACTTTTTTTAAAATACATTTGTGAGTTTTCATGGTACTTAGGGCTCACCATCTTACAAGGGTTTGATTTGTATAAGCTAAAATTACAAAATTAGTTCAAATAGAGATATGAATGGTATGCTTCTTACATTTTGAAACAATCAAATGAAATTAAAATATGATTTTATAATGAAAATTTGGATGTAATTCTTTGCCTGTGCTTCTTATTTATAGTTATGGAGAAACTTCGCCTGTACTTTTGGCTTCAACACAGAATGCCTTCTTGAAATCTAATACCCCAAGTGTTCACAGTCATGCTAACAGTAAGTTTAAACTCTTTACTTAATATTAATAAAAATTATAAATACAATTATTTTTAAACGCATTTTTAAACTGACGATTATTTTAAACCAATAAACCTTTCTAAAAGGCACCAATTTATTTCTCAAAACAATATTTATTTGATATATTAAAAAGAAAGTTGCTATCATGATGATAAAAAGGTTTATTTTTCTTTACTCACAATTAATGCAAAATAAGTTTTTTCGATTTTCGATATTTCACTTCCTATAAGAACAAAAAAAAAGAGAGCAACAATTAATTAAAGAAAGAAGTGTAGGATTTGCTGTGTTTTGCTTCAGAAACTAAGTTTATCCTTACCAAGTTGCAAAATTAGTTGTTTTAAGCTCGTTAACTGTGTAATGTGATTCCACAACAACAACAGAAAACTATAAAAGAATGTTTTCAAAATAGCACCATTTGCAGCAAAAACGAAGACAAAATAAATAAATCCAGTATAATTACAAGGTGACCACAATCTGGAAAGTTATAAAAAGTAATACTGATAGCAAATGTTTCCCAAGGCTGTTAGAAAACATAATTTCGTTTAATGAAGAAGAAATGAAGTTGGAATTTAGAAATGAAGTTGGTCAGTTATAATATCATGATATACACCGAAGAGTCATTGCATTATGACCACCCTCCATCTATAACAACGGGCTCGCCCAGGTTTTAATGGCTTCTCACCCAGGAACAATGTTTTCAAGAGGCACATTAGGAATCATAATCCCCATAGAACAATCCCTGACGCCTGTAAGCTACTTGAACATAGTTGCAGACCAGGTTCACCCATTCATTGCAACAGTTTTTCCTGCGGGGGATGGTGTTTAATAACAGGATAATGCGCCATGTCATAAGGGTCAAATCGTCATGGATTGGTTCGAGGAACATTCCAGGGACTTTCAAGTTATGTCTTGAAACCCCAAATTCACCTGGTCTTAATCCAATAGAGCATTTGTGGTCCTACTTGGAAAACCAAATTCGTGCTGCCACGCTACCCACTCGCAATGTGAGGGAATTGCAGGACCAGTTGGTGAGCGCTTGGTACCAGATACCTCAGACTACCTATCAGCGCCTTATGGAATCAATGCCACGGCGGGTGCTAGCAGTTTTGAGGGCTAAAGGTAGTCCTACATGTTATTAGCAGGATGGTCATAATGTAATGACTCTTCGATCTATTTCCTCTAATTTACAAATATATTTTGGTAGATAGAAATTATAAAAGACAATTTTCTTTTTCAATCTTTCTGTACAACTTTTTAAATTTTTCCCAGTTGGGGCCACTTTAAATTATTCCAGTTTGATTTATGAAGAAGAATGCATTTTCAATAGCCTTTCCATTCAGTAACGTCATCTCATTAAAGAAATATGAAAATAATTTTGAAACTTCGAGAGAATAAAGTACCTCGTTCCTACCAAAAAATTCAGCCAACCATACATGTATGCCTTTTTCCATATTTCTTTAATTGATTTTTCAAACCATAGTTCTTTTTTCTTTCTTTCTTTGGTTACCCGTAATTGATGACCATTGCCCTGGTTCGGGACGAAAAAAAATAATCTTGCCCACGGCAGATCTTGAAAATGTAGCTGTTACCGTGACTAACCAAAAGCAAAAGAATGTCGACTTTCACCGGTTAATGTCAACAATCACATAGTCGTTTTGGTGAATGTTCGAAATATTTGTTGCATCCGATTTGATATTCATTTACTCGTTAATATTATTATATTTATTCGATATTTTAATATCTGCTGTGGATAGATTAAGAGAAACATCAATGTTCGAAGTAGCGGTTAATTGCATACTGGGCAGTGGCACTTGACCTTAAAAAAACATTGATGTAGGGCATACCGGGCAAATGCATACCGGGTAGTGGCGCTTATTTAAACCTAGTATATATTTCAGACATTTACCAAAGCGACTCTGTGATTGTCAACATTCACCGGTGGAAGTCAACAACCACCCATTTCTGTCACTCACAGTAACCCAAGAACAGCATGTTAAACATTAGAAATACATTAAAAAAACTTACGCATACAACAATGGCGGAGTTAAATAATATTGGTGAGGCATGTATATATATATGGTGAATAAATTAATCGAATATTTCTTATTAGTGAATAAATTATTAGAACAATTTCCCTTAGAACAAAACGTATTTTTTTCTTTAAGGTTTTGCAAGCAGTAAGAAACTAACTTCTTCTACCAACATCCCTTACGAACATGTATCTAGTTTGAAACAAATCAGAGATTTGAGACACGTATCCGAATATGTGGCTGAGATCAGGATGGATAGAAGAAACATAATTCTTCGAGAAAAGATACAAAAGGGTATTATAATTGCACTTACTCTTTTTTTGTTATTATTATTAATCTTTCCATTTATTCCCAATATTTTCAAGCTACAAACATTTTAATTTTTGAAATAGGAACGTATGGGAGAATATATAGTGCAGTAATAGTTGACTCGAATGAATTGTTACCAAAAAGAAAACCAGCAATTGTCAAAACAGTTACAGGTACACGGCTTTCTCACACTTTCTCAATGCATGTTTTCTTTCTTCTTCTCCTCTCCCTTTTTTTTCTTTTTAATGCAAAAAATTTTAATTTAAAAGCAATAACTTTTATTTTTAAATTTAGAAGAAAACCTATAGTTTTATTGTTTCATAAATTAGATTACGTTAAACGATTTTTGCTAAAAATGCAGGTTTTATCCAACAAAAAAACATTGAAATGCATGCAAGCACAGGTTATAGGTAGCATACTGGGTGTTTTTAATTTTAAAATGCAGCACCTTTAAAAATATTTTAGCGTCTTTGCAAAAAAACTTCTTAAGTACGTGCATTTAAATTATTTTTTTAAACAGAACAATTTGGAAAAAAAACCTGTAACTTTATTTATATATTACGTAAAAGGATTTTTACTAAAATTGCAGGTATTTAGCAGGCGAAAAATTCTGTTGAGATGCATTGCTAGAGTAGATTGTAAGCAGCTTAATAAATCTTTTTAATTTTAAAATACACCACCATTTAGAATCTTTGCCAAAGAGCCGCGATGGCTCAGGTGATAGAGCACTCGACTTCCAATGAGGTGAACCGGGTTCGAATCCCAGCAATGGCTGGTCGATACGAATCAGCAGCCGACTTGCACCGACCACAGTCCTGATTTGAAATATCCTCAGTGGTAGACGGATCCTGGGTTAGAGTACCTTTGCCATCAGGCTAACTCGTGGTCTTCCTCTCCATGTAACGCAAATGCGGGTTACTTCCGTCAAAAAGTCCTCCGCGAAGGCAAATTTCTCCTAATACTTGATCCAGGAGTTCCCTTGTCTTCTGAATTGGATTCAAAATTACAAGGCTACGAAGTTGAACATTAGCAATTGTAAACCCAAAAATTGGGTCGGCTGTTCAATGACGTTTAATGTTCAATCATTTAATAACAAAAAATTAAATTAAAAACTTCCAAATTAAATAAATCATTAAGAAACAGTGACATTAAATTCTATTTTCTACGATAAATTAAAAGGGTTGTTGCAATAAATTAATCTAATTTCAATTTGGGAATTCATAAAATTTTATTCTGTGTTAAATATCTGTTTTTGCATATAGAAATAAATTTTATCTTTTCATTTATCGATATTATTCATGATTGCAAGATTTTTTTTTCTTTCTCCAGATCAAGCTAACTCTTTCCAAACATCACTTTTAATTAAAGAAGGGATGAAAATGTTGGGATTACAGCATGAGTACGTCTTACCACTCATTGGCTTATGCACTGAAGATCAGTTGCATCCAATACTTGTTTATCCTTTTATGGCCAATGGAAATTTGAAATTGTTTCTGCAACAATGCTCAGCAGGATACGGATGTGTAAGTATCTTTTTTTTTTCTTTGTTAGGTTCCATACCTTCTGCATTGACTTCTACACAAATTGATTCTCTTTCTTTAATTTAAAATGCAACTTAACCCTTTACTATTTATAAAACCGTGGGAAGCATACTTCTCATAAGCATCATTAATCTTTAAATGTCGATGGAGCCAGGATAGCCTTGTTGGTAGGACGTTGGGCTCGTGCTCGTGAGAACAGACGTTCAAATCTCACCAGCTGAAGTGTGTTCCAATACCTGTGTATCAAATGGTGACTAGAGCAAGTTAAATCTGTCAGGGTCACAAAGGCCTCCACGTCCCCATAACAAATCAATTCTTCTGGGGGTACTGAATAGAAGATTGATTGTTTTCTGTTTCAGATCAAAATTACTATTCATAGGTGAATGAATGAAGTATGATTGGGTCCTCCTTGTAAACGGGCTGTGGCGTGTGCAAGACTGAAGTTGTATTCTTTGTCACTGAAAAAACAAGAAACGCACCCTTTGTCATAAAAATTCGCTTGATTTCAAGCAGGCTTTCTAATTGGCAAGTGGCACAAGTAACAACAACAAATGTCGATGAGAAGCTATATTATCACTTATGATTTGTACGGTCATCTGCTTATAACTTCAGAAAATAGAAGAAAAGAAATTCCAGTGTAGGGCATTGTTTACATAAATGAAGGTAACAGTAAAGGTTTGCGCATGATCAGGAAGAGGCGCCGACACTGGAGACTTATTTCCTCTCGTGCATTTCGCACTCTTTCATTTGATCATATTTCATTGAGTTTATTTTTAGTTATAAACACAGAAATCATAAACACAGTTATTTATAAACACAGAAGTTCAAGCTCAATGCCAATTTTGGATTGTACAAAAATATTTTGAAAATCCCACCTACAAAAAAATGAAATTGATTTTTATGTAATAAGCTATTTTATTTTTTTTTTAGAAAAAATCAATTTCAGTCCTAAAAATATTTTTAAAATAACATTGCTATAACGTTAGAAAAAGATAGCCGTATAAAGTGTTAAACCGTTTTTCCTTTATTGCAACCTTTCGTCTCCAGACTGGAAAGAAGAGCATTGTGTGACAGATAAGATGAATTCTCTTTTACGGTTAATTAGTGTTTTGTACTTAATAAGGCAATGAAGAAAAGTTAAAAGCTTTAGGAGAGATAAGACAGGCGGAACAATAAAATATTGGATTATTTTTCGACATGACTTTGCCACATTAACAATTTTTTTCGAATTTCAATTTTTTAATAGGTATAAATTGTACAAAATTGTTTACATATTTACAATATTAAAATTAAATATTCATCGCATTAAAAATGGTAGAAATGTATCCTTTGATGAAACTAATTTGATTCACTGGTCATCAGAAAAAATTTAACTCATGTTGTAACAGCCCTGTGTAATTCTTTCATTATATCCTCCGGTATTTATTTTTTTATTCATTCAATTCATCGATATTGAAGTACATAAAATACGAATTAAAAGTTTAATCAAACATAGATTTTGCAATAGTACTGCATCTTGTAAAATTATAGATGTCTTTTTAGGCATTTGGAATTTTTTAAAACATGTGCAAAAAATGATTTTAGACATGTCAAGGAGACGCAAAAAATAAAATAAAAATTGGGAATGAAAAAAACTGCAAAAAAAAAAAAAAAAAAAAAAAAAATTAAAAAAANTAAAAGAAAAAAAAAAAAAAAAAAAACTTTAAAAAAATCTATTTCACTCCTTTAAACTCTCGATTTTATTTAAACTTTACATCTGAGTTGGTTATTCAGCGTCCATAACACTGCTAGCATACTCATTTTTTTTACGTTTATTATATTACAATAAAAAACCAGACGATTTTAATTCAAAAATATCTCACGATTTCATCAAAGAAGCGATTTCATAAATAAGTGTTTAAAAAAAATGGCCCTTTTTATCGAATAGTTTTGTAATAACCTTTAATGTCTCTCTTTGGGAAAAAGTATTTAACTAACTAAATTAATTCAAAGTAAACTGCTGAAATTAAAAACTAATGAATAATTTATTTTTTCAAAGGTATTATGGAGAGTAAAAATCAAACAACGTAAATAAAAGAAAAAGGAAAGTAACGACAATGTCGCCACAAACTTCACCTGTAACATTTTGGCATTTGTTTTGATTTTTAAATGAATAAATTGGAATAAACGAGATTCATACAATGTTTTAAGGAAAAAAATAGAACATGCTAAAAGTTAATTTTTATACAGCAAATAAAACAATAGTAATTCCAAAAAGTGATAAATTAACTTACTTATGAAACATATAAGATCCTCTTATAACAAAGTTTTCCAATGCAATTAATATATTTTCTATACAACTGAATGTAGCTCAGAAAACCTCCATATTTTAAGATTTTTGACTTTAAAATTTCCGCATATTTTCTTTCTTCAATAAAAGCTAACAATTAGAAACGGAAGGTAGAAAATTTTCCTCTCATTTCGCCCTCCAGTCACGTGGTTCAGTCGCATTTTAACCCTCAATGCACCGGGTTCACACAAACATCCATCATATGGTTTTAGCCTGTTGCATACACACAAAATATGGAAAACCATAAAATTACTGACATTTTCGTGAATTTGCCAAAGGGTCTATTAACAGGATACAAATGTTCAATTCAAATTAACATTTTGTAGTGGTTTGTTCAGTTCCCCAAAAAGAAATTTATAATGAAGGGTTATGAAACTTAGAGTAAACTATTTAATAAATAGTTTGTGATGTGTGCCAATATTTGAAACACGGTATTTTTCTTTTATCTAGGTTCTAACGACAATCGATCTAGTGTCGATGGCTATACAGATTATCAAAGCCATTGAATACTTGCATTATAGAGGAGTCATTCACAAGGATATTGCAACAAGAAATTGTGTGTATGTTTTACAATCAAATTCTTAACTACGTAAAATTATATGATAACACATATAATAAAACTTATAATGGTATGTTATAAATATTGTTTAATATGTGTTATGAACGTATTACAATTACATTTTTCAAATATGGTATAGATATAGGATGTTTTATTAATAGGTTGCGTGTACAATATTAAATAAACTTCCTCCATCATTAAATGGCGTTTTTTCATAAGAATATTTTAATAATCGGATGAAATCAATTTCGAACAATGGTGGAAAATGTTACGATATTATACTGTAATCGTGAGTATAATAGTGGAAAATTCTGTATTAATATAAACTTAGAATAAAAAACTTACGGATCAAACATAAAATAATAATGGAAGGAATAAAAAAATAGCATAGTATTCTCTGCTAATAGTACAAAATNCTGACGGCAAGGGGACTCTAACCCATGATCCGTTTACCACTGAGGATATTTCACGTCAACACTATGGTCGGTGCAAACCGGATTCGAACCCGGTTTGCCGCATTGGCCATCACGGCTCTGGGATATAGTATTTGTTGAATTAGACGCTTTTTGAATTAAACGTCATTCATAAGATTTGTATTAATGGTCGCCTTACTTTTGAGCGCACGAAGTATGTCAATTTTTTACACCTTTATAGTTTTTTTTAATGACGTTTTTCCATTTTCAAGTTTATCTTTCAGAGTCAGTTTCTTGGAATTATTTATATTATGTAACTAATGCAATTTTCATTGAGAGTAATATTTTCATTCAGCAAATAGCTTTTAAAGATCGTTTAGAAACGTTTACGACATTCCCTCGAAAGGTGGCTTTTATCTGGTTATGAAGTAAATGCCAGAAATCTAATAAAATAATTCAGCGTGCAAATGAAGACTTAAGTTTTACACACGCAGTGAAATTTTCAAGTAAAGTCGATGAATATTTGAGAAGTTAGAACGGACTGTTCTAAGAAAAAGTAGCTCAAAGCCGTGTAATTTCGTATATGATTACAGTCAGTGCAAAAAGAGCTGAACCATTCTTATATGCGAGTTTCTATTTATACTTTTAGAGCAAATGCAAAAGACATTTTGAATGCTCTAAAATCGTGTATACTGTCGTATTGCTTTGGCGAAAATTGCCTGAAACTCTCCTTTAAAACAAAAATATGACTAAGTCTTTTTACTTATACTAAGAATATTTATTATTACGTAAGAATTAATTTTAGTATTTAAACAGATAAACTGTGATTGTGAAAAATTTTAAATTAATATTTATACCGAAGGATATTAATTTCGAACAACAGTGGAAGATTTTGTATTAATATAAATTTAGAATAGAAAACTTACGGATTAAACATAAAATAATAATGGAAGGAATAAAAAAAATAGTAATAGTATTTTCGATAAATAGTATAAAATATACTATTAGTAGAGAATACTATAGTACAAAATTCTGAACTAATACAAATTTAAAATAAAAAACTTACGGTTGAAAATAGACTAATAATGGAAGGTATAAATAAAATAGTATAGTATTTTTCATAGTATAGTATTTCCTAACCTTATCCCTCTGATATACACTAAAAAGGAAAAATTGGAATTATAGTAGACAATTTTATACTAACTTACTAAAAGAGATAAGCTTCTAGTAATAGTGGAAAATTTTACACTTCAAGTAATTTGTGATTATTAAATTATATTTTATGGTGCATACATATAATTTTTTTCCCGCTTTTTTCCTTAGAGTGAATGAAGATCTTCAAATTAAACTTGCTGATAATGCTCTTGCAAGAGACCTTTTCCCAAATGATTATCATTGTTTGTGTGATAGTGAGAATAGGCCAATCAAGTGGTTAGCTGTTGAAAGTATAGTGAGGAATGAATTTTCATTTGAAACAGACGTGGTTAGTAATTGATTCTATATAATTATTAATGTGCATACCATATATATACGTCAGAGCAATTTTTATACACCTTTCTAGTTTTAAGATTCTATATTATGAAAAATCAATTTAGAGTAGTGTTTTGATAATAAAAAAATAGCTTACCTTGAATATAAAAACCAATTTCGAGCTAGCGAACTTTATGAACTACATATATATTAAAATATTTGTAATTATTTAGTAGGATATCATAAATAAAAAACATTGTTTATGCGAAGAATCTGTTCTAATTATATCTCAAGAATATTTTACATAACTATTGTCCTACAGTTTAATAGTATGCTCGCATAGTCATAATAGTATGCTCGCTTAATGTAAAAAAAACAATCTAAATCGTTTTCATATTTCAGTTGGATTTTGAATTGTTTGCGTAATTCAAACCATTGCCATGAATTTGTCAACTATTCTTTCGGGTCATCTGCATGTAAAGCAGAANTATATATTGCAGCTTATGAGCAGTAAAGAAAACTTATTATAATTTTCTTCGTTGATCTCTCTTTTATCCTTTTTGTCTGTGTTATATATATAATTAATTCGTGAGATGTAACTTATTTATTTTTAATTTTTTCATTTGGTATACAAAGGACAAAAATTTTATTTCAAAATCTGAAAGCCCGAAGAAAATATTTCAAAATTTTCAAAGTAAAACCCAGATTTTTTAAGAATTGGTTACGAATTTAAGAACTTGCAGTCCACGAATAAATAAACTGGTGTTCTAAGCAGAACGCAGCAGCAGAAAATCATTCATTTCTATTTTTGTTTGGTTTTCATTGATTTTTCATATTCTTTTATGCTTTTTATGGGGGGAGGGGTATCTGGTACTTAGGATTAACCTAATAGCAATCTTTCCTTTACAAAAAGCTTATATATTTCAGTTCATTTATTGTTCAAAATGTATTCTTTATTTCAATAGTGGTCTTTTGGAGTTACATTATGGGAGCTGGTCACTCTAGGACATCAACCCTATGCATCAGTAGATGCGTTTGAAATGTTTTCCACTCTGATGGATGGATATAGATTAAATCAACCGAAAAACTGCCCAGATGATCTGTAAGAATTTCATGCCTATAACTATAACCATAGTTTAAGATTTATATATGTTAAAAAGAATTTAATTTTACAATTATGCAAACTAGATAAATTTAAAAAAATAAAAGAACACTCACATTTCTAACAATAAATACACTGCATGCCTCATAAAAGCTGATTAATTGGGTAATTTGTGCTGCTTATCTAATTTCCACACATTAAATTTGCTACAGTTAAATTTTTAAGTACAAAAATCTTAAATATAAATCTAAAGCACTGATTGAAATATCCCAAAATACAAGTACAATTAATATTTTTATAAATTCTAATTCTTGCTTTCCAGGTATAAATTGATGTGGTACTGCTGGTCAGAATTACCAGAAATCAGACCGTCTGTTAGGGAACTCGTAAGATGCTTACAAGATCTGTATATAAAATTAGGAAGTTTTATATGAATAAATTATATACATCCTTTTTGTTATTAATTTTATTGTATTACTGGAATAGAATTAAATACTAATACGCATTACTTTTTTAGCCTACCAAATGCAAATAAACAATTTTTTTAAAACTATATTAAGGTTATTGATGGCTTAAGAAGTCAAAATTTAGAAATACTGAGTTTTAAACTTAATGCTAACTTTTCAATAAAAAATATCGAATGATTATAATTAGAACCCAATATGAAAAAAATTATTACAAAATAAATATAGGTTTTATTATTACTTGAATATAATAAAAATGTGCTTTAATAATACGCAGATCTCTCTTTTAAAAAGAAACAGAATCAAGATTTTGTGTAGTGCAAGTATTAAGCCAGGAACACACATGTAATCACATAAACAACACTCTACATAAAATTCATTTAATGGTTTGCATAGCAAAATTTTTTATTAGTTATTGCAACAGTTTAATTTAAGGTAAAACACATATAAGAACTTTACATTCTTTATCTTTATAGTTACAATTTTCGAACCAGAACCAGGTGTTTTTAAACTTTTCAGAGGGGAATAAAATTTCTTAGAATAGTCTAATTCTTTTTTCTTTTTTTTCTCATAGCTTTAATAAAATTGCTTTGAAGAAATTTTTAAAAAATTCATCATTAAACCTAAAAGGACTTTGAACTAAATTTTTAACATTAAATCAGACAATTATCGCATTATCCTTGCTAACCTCAGGATCTTGTTTAAGCAATACTCATACAAGAATGCTTAGAGAGTAACAAAAAATAATAAACACAAAGGAAAAGTTGGAAAAGAGAGTCAACAAAAAATTGGTTTTAAGCAAAAACAAATAAATATAAAAAATTTTTAAAAAAAAATGCTATTTTTTCTTCCATTTATAGAATTGTTATTGTTTATTTATTTCAGTGAAAAGCAAGTAGTAACATTGNAATATACGTTTTATTATTACTTGAATATAATAAAAATGTGCTCTAATAATATGCAGATCTCTCTTTTAAAAAGAAACAGAATCAAGATTTTGTGTAGTGCAAGTATTAGGCCAGGAACGCGCATGTAATCACATAAACAACAGTCTACATAAAATTTATTTAATGGTTTGCATAGCAACATTTTTTATTAGTTATTGCAACAGTTTAATTTAAGGCAAAACACATATAACAACTTTGCATTCTTTCTCTTTATAGTTACAATTTTCGAACCAGAACCAGGTGTTTTTAAACTTTTCAGAGGGGAATAAAATTTCTTAGAATAGTCTAATTCTTTTTTTTTTCTCATAGCTTTAATAAAATTGTTTTGAAGAAGTTTTTAAAAAATCCATCATTAAACCTCGTAATAAAAGGACTTGAAACTAAATTTTTAACATTAAATCAGCCAATTATCACATTATCATTGTTAACCTCAAGATCTTGTTTAAACAGGATTCCCACAAAAATGATTACTGAATATCGAAAAACAATAAACACAAAAGAAAAGTTGGAAAAAAGAGTCAACAAAAATTCGGTTATAAGCAAAAACAAATAAATTTAAAATAAAAAATATTATGCTATTTGTTCTTCCATTTCAAGAATTGTAATTGTTTACTTATTTCAGTGAAAAGCAAGTAGTAACCAGTTTAAATAACATTTTCATTATATGAAAGAATTATAGATTTTTTTCCTATATTCTCATCAGATTTTAATGTATTTTTTGTCACCACCCAGTATTTTTCTCTATTCTTAAGCTTACTCAATAATTTTTTTTAAAAATGACAAAATTTAAACTTTTATTTATAAATTAAAAAAACTAATAAAATGCAAATACAAAAAAAAGCATTAAATACAAAGTAAATGCAAGCTAAATAACAAATTCAATTGCAAATATATGCAACAAATAATGTTGAATAAATTTTTATTAGTAGTAAATATAATATACATAAATCTGAAATACTCTGACATAAACAATTCTTTATTTTTTTCACTCTTTAATATTTCTTTTCATTCTCCAAATAAAGACAATGAACAAATAATGCAAGTCATTTAATTAAACACATTAAAATTTGTTTGAAGGCAGTTCTCTGACAGCCTAGTTAAAAAAGATTTTTAAAAAAAACAATTAGGAAAAAAGTTTCAACTACTAGTTTTGTTTTCTCTTTTCTTAATGCTTTTAAAGCTTTCAATAGTAGTGCACAGTTATTTTTTAAAAGAGACTTTGCTTGATAATTTAATGGCTATCTCATTTAGAATAACTTTTTTACAAAGATGTCTTTAAATAGAAATTGTGCTTTTTCTAAAATAACTATACTAAAAAATAGAAATTTAAAAGATATTTTTCGACCACTGGAAACTGGATGAATCTCTCATCAAGTAACATCTCAAATCTTTAAAAATTGTTCTAATCTAGCTTTTAATCATCAAAACTCCAATAAGTACTGTAACAAACAGTTCCCACTGAGTGAAACTCTGATAAGGCAAACATAACCCATGATTCAGGCTCAAACTCGAGCAAATTTGCATTGACTGGAAACATGAAAAACAACTTGGTCTTCATAAAATCAAAACATAATTAAAAACTAATTATTGTTTTTTTAGAAATGCACAAGAGTTTATAATTAATATATTTCCAGTATTCTTACTGACCCAAGAAGAAGAGATCAGAATAAATAACTACACATATATGATACATATACTACAAATATATTTAAGTTCAAGGCACAAACATTTATATTAAGCAAATTAATACTGGATGGAAATTGAAGCTATACATCATCGCACTAACAACTGAAATCCAGATATATACAAAGGTAAATTTGAAACATCAGTTCATGCATAGATAAATTTGACTAAGGATATCACAAATTCTGATATAAAAAATAAAAAAAATGATTCCCTAATTCTTTTAACGGTGGGCACGTGTATTTATTTATTATGAAAAACATGATCAATTTTCTTGCACAAATGCTATTGCTATGAGAAAAATTTTATTTTGTTTTGGTGTTACATAAATAAAATACATTTTTTTCAATGAAAATAAAACTGTACATGACAAGGTTTTATTAAAAAAAAGAATTGCAAGAAATGTGAATCCTTAACTTCTTCAGATGTCCAGCAGAAGAGTTATTAGTAGTACAAAGGAAAACATATAAACAATTTTCTTACATGAATCTTAACTCTATGGTGAAAATGCGATTTCAGTTTTGCAGTTATCTATTAAAAACATTCATCAAATAAAAACCAGAACTGCGCACTTCAAGATGTTAGTCAACTATATCAAATGACAGAAATTAAATTAATATCAGTCCTTAATTCCTTCAGATATTTAAGGCTAAAATTGACACTTTATCCATAGAGTCAACATAGCAATGAGGAACAAAATTATTGTTAACCATTCCATGTTAATTTTCCTTAAATGCATTTGTCTTTTTCAGAAAATTTACTGACTTTTATTAATTTGGTTAATATTTTTAACTGATTTTATGTTTACTTTTTCCTGTCAAGATGTCTTTTATTAATTTTTTGTATTTAATAAGAAGCATTTCATGCAAAATTTAGTGATGACGCTTTGCCCCTCCTTTTCCTTTTTACAATAAGCAGACATTTTGATTCGTTGTTAAAAATGTAATAAAATAATATGTAACAGTGTAATCTATGCATATTAGCAACTGATCAATAACATACATGTGTGCAACTTCAAAATGCTTATAAATAAATAATTGTTTTTTATTGAGGAATATTTGAAAGCAAAATATTTATGAAATGGCGAAGCAAAATATAAAAGATGTATTATTATCTATTTTATTTTATAAAAAATTGATTTTTGCTAATCTCTCATGCTATTTTAAAATTTGACTTTATAAAAGAAGTTAATTGCTTTAAGAGAAATATTTTGCTTTCTTTTTAATTGTAAGAAACATTTTAATGCAAAACTCAATGAGGACACTTGGCTCCCCCTTTTCCTCCTTTACCACGACAAGACATGTTGAGACTTTGTCAGTAAGGAAATGAAATAACATTAAACTGTGTAATATATCTGCATATTTGCCACTGATTAATAACCAACACCTGAGAAGTTTCAAAATGTTTAAGAATAAAAAATTATTTTCTATTAATAAACGTTTAGAAGTAAAATACTTATGAAAGATGGAAGCAAAATATTAAAAGGTGCAGCCTAGTTATATTTACATTCAATTTAATTTATCTTGTGAAAAATTACTTGCTAATTTCTTATTTTAATAGGATTTTCAGAAATTTACCATGATAAAAGAGGCTAACTGATTCTTAATAAAGATGACTTAACAATGGATAGTTTCATGACAACTATTTCATTTTTTTTAAATATATATATAAGTGCAAATATTATGTAGAACCAGAAACTTGGCTCAGAATATATAACCATACTTATTCAATTTTAAACTTACTTAACACTAAGAAACTGTATACTGGCACATAATCATGAAAAACAATTCATAATAGCCTAATGAGTGCCCACCTAAGATCTAACTAATAGAAATATAAAAAGTTTGAAATGCATTACTTAGTAGCATAAAAATTAAAATAATAACTACTAAAATGCAACTTAAATATTTTTCTTTACTTTTATCAAAACAATAAAATTTCACAGTGCACAAAACAATTTCTTTATAAATCTATAATCATTTCAACAAACCGTTAGAAAATTTTAGCAATTAATATCCAATAAAACACATTAGAAATCAATGCATACATATATATATATATAAACATCATGATACTTGTGAATTAAAAGTGATATGGAATGTGTAATGAGTTCTTCATACACATATTATCTCAGTATGGCGTTCTTGGAGAGATGTTTACCAGATCATGTGTGCTGTAACACATAAAAGAAATCAATTAACACACAATTCACAATCAAAAAGATAGAAAAAATTTATTGAAATGACATGAATATTTGATAGATATACAAAATTATTATGGAAACTAAACATTCATTAAACTAAACAAAAATTTCCGAAAAAAAATGAATTTCTTATAGGATAGAAACAGGGTTAGAAATTCAGAAAATTTGGTAACTGGTACAAAGGACCAGTAACTAAAAGACATTACTAGTCTGCACACATTTTTACTCATCTGTTTACATGTCTCTGTTAAATTTGTTCTAAAAACATTAACTCAGTGAATTAAATGAAAATTTAAAATTACAGTATACAAATGTGTATTGTTTACAATTATGATGAAATATGCTATATTGTGGCAAAAACACATACCAAAACATAAAACATACCATCTTTTATATCAATTGCGACTCAGAATAACTATTGATTATTTATTTGTTATTGATCTTGGACCAACAGACCACCAAAAATTTTAAATTCTTAGAAATATGAAAATCCTAATCTACAGAAATGACTGTTTCAAGAAAAGCCGAATTACAAATTCATTTAGCATTGAATAATAGTGTAACAAATTTGGTATAAAATTTGATTTTTAAAATGAAAATAATAATAACTTTAAGCCCTACATCTGAGGAGGTAATTAGAGGAAAACCGTGACACGGTGTACAAGATTGACACTTAGTTTTACTATGTTATTCAATGAATTAAAGATTGCTGGGTGAAAGAGGTTAGCAGCATGAGAACTCCCGCAAAGATCACGTAAACTGAACTCAAGAGTCAGAGATGACTCAAAGTGTCAGTCATACAAAACTGAGTCATCAATCAAGCCCTGGAACAAAAGAACACTTCTTCCAAAATAACAAAAATAAAATATATGAATAGTTATAAACTAAGTTACCCTATCCTCTCATTATTAAAAGTAATGAGTTTAATAAACTACTTTTTTTTCAATAATCACAGCAATTTTTTTCAAAATAATCAAAGCAAATACATAATTCAACGGATTGTTAAAAGAACAATTGGTTCTATATTATTTGTACGTTCAAAAAATTGAAAAAAATTTCATCTTTACAAACCCTTTCCGTATAGACATAAAGATGAAAAAAATTTCATCTTTATGTCTATACAGAAAGGGTTTAAATACACAATATAAACTAGTTTAATAAAAAAAATACTGCCAAACATACCTTTTTCCATACTTGAAATGGATAATTAAAAAGATGACAGCAAGTAATAAACAAATACTTCCCACAACTATGTATGCAATGCCAAGAAAAGGATTCTTCCCTCCCAGCCAAGAAGTATTGGACAATATTATTCTTTTGGTTCCTTTAAATGAAGTGACTTTATAGCCTGATATTTTAGTTAAGCAAAAATAAAAATGTTTTTCTAACAACAAAAACATTCTAAAATTTTTATTAACAATAAGTAAAAAACAATAGACTTGAATAAACATGGGTGCCGAACTTATATTTTTAGGAGGGGAAAAGTTTCTATTTTGCCAAATGAAATTCCAAATGATTATACCAAATGAAATATGACAGAATCATAAATTAGCATCTGCAATTATTCTATCATATTATTAAGGGACATTAGGTTATATAAAAGGACATCAAAAGCGACTCAAACCAATTTTTTTGAAGATATAAGTTATAATTAACATAGTTGTCAACTTTTCTTATTTTCCCCAGAAGATTTTACTTTTATATTTCAAGTGTTAGCAAAATTTATACTTTGATAATTTACTCAGTGTTGAAATAAATTTGATTTAAAATATTCTAGCTCATTATCATACATAATCAATTCTCTCAGTAAATGCTAAAGTAATGCAATAGTGCTAAAGAAATTTACGATGGCAGTTTAGAAATTAAGTATGATTGGTGTAGTATAAAATCTACAAATAAGTATATTAATCTGAAGGCCACACCAATTCTGGAAACTGTGAAGGCCATGCATGCATTAGATAAAGGTAAAGAAATTCAATAGCATGAGGAGAATAGCAGTTCATCTTAATAAGCTAATGAATATTTTCTGTTTTGGAATTTTACTTTCGGAACAAATTAAACTAACAACTGTTTCAACTATGAGTTTCACAGTGAGAAAAATACTGTGTTTGCAAATGTCTTTTATGAATGGTACAAAAAATTAATATTATAAGATAATGTTTCGGATGGAACTGGCTTCCATGTATTAAAAAATAAGACCACCATGATGAGTGACTAACAATGGCAAGGATGGGATAAGATTTAAGACGAAATTGTGAAATGGCTACATTAAACTATACTTAATATATTTTTTTCATAGCTATTTAAAAATGTCGAATAAGTGTGTAATAATTTTTTTGCGTTTCTTAAAAAATAAAAGTGGGAATATGAAATTCTATAAGTATGCCATATAGCCAGACAATATTTGATGAATAGTGAAAATCTTGGAGGTCCCAACGACCTCCCATCCCGGCTACTCTATGAATAAATTATATATTGATCAGATTTTTTCATACTAACATTCAAACTTCATGCTTCAAAGGTTTGTCGCTAAAATATACTAGTATAGGGCCTCAAAAAGTTAATTAAGAGAGTAAATGAAAATTTGAATATCTTAATGCCTATAAAAATGTAGAAATGCTTCCTGACAAATTCTGTCTCCTCTCCACTGCCAATTTAAAGTTTTAATCGAAAAAAAAGTGAGTTCAAGTAATCTTAGAGTAAACCATAAAGTTCTTAATAATAAATATTGTTCTTTCAAAATATCAACGGTAATACAAATTATAGCATAGTTCCTATGTTACATATAAATAATACTTCCTCTGTGTAATTCCACAATAATTTGTTTGAATTTTGATAGCTTCAAAAATATTTTAAGTATTTGAGACTTTATGATTTATCTGAACTCACTTCACATTTTTTTACATGAACTCACTTCACATTTCGAATTACTAACGTAGATGCAGAATTTTCAAATGAAATATTTCGCCAACAGCATAATGTCTCTTTAATGTTAATTTTAACATATTTTGCCATATCTTTAAAAAACCATAACTTATTTTGCCATATCTTTCAGAATTATTTGTTCCATCATGTTCAGATTTTGTGTATTTTTCAACTTTATACATATATAAAGAACTTATTGTTTCACAGTGAATAAATAATTTTCAAAACATAAGTATCAAAAGATAGAGAATGAAATTGAAAATGCAAATCAAGAAAAAAAATACACCTGGCTTTTTAAAAAAAAGTTAATTATACAAGTCTCAATAATAAAAAGGATACGGTATTTAATTTCCAATTCATACAATCCTTCTGGAAGACCAATTCTATAACCCTCTTTTTCATGATTGACTCGACGATACAATTTCCTAAAAGTAGGCAAGGCTGCTGTTCTCATCCATACAATCAAATCTTCATTTTCAAAACCGTTATTGTTCTTATTCTGTTTGTCAAGATCCCAAACAGCAACACTCCAATTTATGGGTTTCACCGTACCATTAAAAGCTAAATTTGAAAGAAAAAAATGTGCATATGTTACTCAATACTTTAAACAGTCCTAAAAATGAAATTGTTTATTCTCAGAAAAAAGCTTAACATGAAATTTAAGAACTCATTTTATTTAAGTCTAATATTGCCTCTCCCTGAGATATTTTTTACACATAAACATTTTTAAATAAAAAAATAAAGGTTTCAAAGATGTACAAATATGGATTATTTTATGAAAAGCTGTACACATATGGTATATTTTAGGAAAACTAAACAAACTGTACGCTTTTTTCCTATTTAATAACTAAGCAAATATACAACAATACACATAATTATTCAAATTATAATTTAAAACCAAGTTAATACGCACATGTTAATACACCAAACAAATTTTAATGACCGCAGCAAAAGGTTATTATATTTTTTTAAAAAATGTCAGTACAATGATAAAATTAAAAGAATAAACTACAAACCAATATTAAAATGCTTGATTTATTAATACAGTCGAACTCGTTTATAACGAGCACAAAGGGACCGTAACATGTGCTCGTAATAAACGGGTACTTAAGACAGGCGTGCAACCAGAAGAGGGGGGGGGGGCTTGGGAGGTCAAATGATTGAATTTACTTAAAATTTAATTAATACTTACTTACTTTAATTACATTAATTAATTTAATCGCGTTTTTTTTATTTCGCGCACATTTCTTATCATTTTGAAAAAAAGATAAGACAGAAAGACTAGAAAGATGAGAAAAAAGATTACAAGACGGAAAAATATTGCTCGCTAAAACCGGGTCTTGCTCGTTAAAAGCGACTTCTGTTCCACAGACTTAACATTGATCCAACCAAATATTCTCGTTTCCCTCGGTAAATCCGAGTTCTCGTTAAATCCGAGCTCGTTATAAACGAGTTCGACTGTATCTCTTTTAAGGGGAAAATATTTTGCTTAATTAAAAGGTATTCTTAACCATTCAATCGTTTTTAATTTTTCAAGGCATTTACTGATTAATAAACTGTTCATAATATTAATGTAAATAAAACTATGTGTTTATTTTAAAGTTTAAGGTATCTTACTTTTTCACATATATCCACAGGCTTTTAAAATCAATTTAATTTTATTAAAATAATTTGATACTAATTTAGATTGGGGAGAGAGGGGGGGGTAATTGTGCCCATGTTGGGAGCCTATGGTTTAAATATACCTTTTTAAGCAGGAGTCATTGGCTTTAGGTTAAAATTTTTAGCATGAATGAATTAGCACTTCAAATGAATAACTTAATATAGAACTGGTAATTAATCTTTACTGATTAATAAATTATTCATCTCTATTGGGATGAGTAATGTGTGAACAATTACCCAACTTTGAAAGCAAAAATTAAATCTGGTTCAGAAGTTTCATATTAGTTACAATATTATAGTTTACTCATTGGGAACACAATTGTAAAAAATAAAATTTCTTTCATATAGTATTCACTAAAAAATTATGCTTAGTAATACAGCAAAGCGATACATAATTTAAAATAAGACCCATACACACAAAAAGAAATGCAACAAACCTCGTTCTGGATTTACATCAAAACCTGGAGGATTTCTGAATTTCACTTTCTTATCAGTAGGCCATGCAATGCCATCTTTACGGACGGGCACCTCATCTCTCTTTTTATTAGGTAAGTGAATAAACAGATTAATTTCATCTGAAAAGCAAATAAATAAAAAATTTATAAACAGAAGTACAAGTTAAAACATTAAGAACTAAGTTAAATTTACACACATACAAATGCAAGAAATTAGTTAAATATATGCCAAAAAACAAAACCGGAATTTTAATTTGTAGCATTTTTCTCCCTTTTTACTTTAAAAGGTTATAAATTAGAATCAAAAAGAAGTAAAAGTAGAGGATTTACAACCTTATTGCCATGATTAACTTTTTGTACAGCTCAAGCTATAAAAATAATTAAAGAACTACAACTTTTTTTACCAAATAAAACTTATATGTGGAATTTATTTAGTTTTGATTTGCTACACATTCTGTTGCCATAAGAAAGAAATTTAAAATATTCTTTTAATTCAAATATATCTTTGTAAAGTAATGAATAAGAAATTGAAAGCTTCATAAAATGATAAATAAGAATAGAAAGTTCTATAAAAGAAATAATTTTTATAAAGAGAAAATTCTTATTCATTATTTCACATAATTTCTTCTATAAACGTTCTTTTTTTTGTGCTAATGATGAATAAATTCTAATAACATATACTGCAATTAGATAAATTTATAAATAAAATATAAATACATAAATGCAATTTGATTACGCATTTTAAAGCAGCTCTAATTAAATTTCCCTATTATCTAATCTAGGTGTTCCTATAAACCTTTGCCTTTTTATTTTTCACTTAACTTTTTCTTTAAAAAAAAAAACTAAGATTTGTCTTCTTAAACACCTTCCTTTTTTTGTTATCAATATTTTAATGAAATTTAAACCAACAGATATAAGAATAAAAATATAATAAAAAAACTAAATGAACAAGTTTAAATTTTCCTTAATATCATGATTGCGATTATATTTGAGTGATCATTAAACAAAATTGGAATTTAAATATTGTTTTTCCAGAAAAAAACATCATGATAACTTATAATTTTTATTTATAAATAAAAACTTTCGAAAAAATTATTCTATTTATTGCTAAAAAATGTGAAAAATACAGAAATAAAACAAACAAATACTACAAAAAAAAATTGAATTTAAATAAGATTTTCTTTTGCAAAACTGAAATGTCATGCTAATAAAAATTTTTTTATTTATAACAATATAATAAATAAATAACAATAGTATATCTTATTAAATGATCTCATTTATAACAGTTTAGTGAAGAGAAAGTTCAAAACTCTTTTAACAAAAGAGAAACAGACTGTGAAGCTATCATTAGCAGAAAATGAATAAAAATTCTCAAGCTAATTTATCTGTGAATCATTATTGATTTTTATCGGCTGTAATATATTCTCTCACTATTATTACACTGCTAATTTTATTTCATAAATGAAGATTAAGACTAAAATAGCTTTTAGTTAGTTTTAGTTGCTTTAATTTTGTTAAGATATCTGATAATAATAGATTATAAATATCCTAAAAAAATAATAATAATACATAGCATTTCATGGTTAGCACTTTGAGTTACCAAGTGATTAATAGTCATTAAACTACCAAAAATAAACATGATACTCTTCCATAAGCGAATTTTATAAGTGTAATTTTAAAAAAAATGTTTCTAATAAAAGTGTGAACACTCAACAAATCATAATGCATACAGAAAAAAATTAAAACTAAAATAAAAAATTTGGGTTTATTTGTATTATTTATTTTTAACAAGTTCTTTAGCCAAACATATATATCAAGTATATTTTTAGAATAACTAGTCTCAAATATTAGGCTGCACGTTACAGTTTTTAGTTTAATTGTTTAAAATGTTTTCTTAAGAAACATAAAATATAGAACAAAGAGATTCTATATCCTTTTTTAACACAATATCCTTTTTTAACACAATATCCTTTTTTAACGTAAAAATTATAAACGTATAAAGGTTAAGTAATTGTTTACATATAAAGGTAATGTGCAAAGATAAAATAATTACAAACCATTAAAAAGGCTGTTAGCGATAGCTCCACATGGAGCAATTGGAACATTATCTATTTTATCATAAGGAGCACAATCTCCAGAAGGTTCTTTAGTTAAATCTCCTAACAGTTGGGCATCATCCCTAGACTTAACATAGCGTCGATGATTTTGATAATAGTTAGTGAGTCCATAATAAATAAATACATCACGCTAAAAAAAAAAAGATTATATATCAGAATATAAATCTAAGCAACCTAAGCCCAAAAAAATTAATTTTCTACATTATGCTGAAATAAATAAATACATTATGCTGAAAAAAATAGTTTATTAACTAAAATATAAATTTAAACATAACATTTGTAAAAAGTTTACATAGTAACAATAATAAATAAGCTCATAAGATATTAGTTAACAACATAAATCTAAAATAACACAGATACACTATTTATTAAGTAAAAATAATTAGATAACAAATAATTACATAATTAATAAATGCATTATGCAGGGAAAAAATTAGTTAACAAGTTAGAATAAAAATTTAAATAACATAAAATAAACAAAAAATATTTATTGATAAATCTGAACAACATATTAGTGAGCCAATAATAAATACATTATATTGGAAAAAGTTTTAGAGAACAAGCTTGAACGTAAATTTTAACAACATATACAAAGAAATATTTATAATCATTGATAAATATCAACAACAAAATAGTATGTCCTAAATAAATATAATAAGCTGGGGAAAAACAAATAAAACTACAAAACTGAATAATATGATGCGCACAAAAAATAAAATAAATCAGTAATAAATCAATATAACAAATTAGTCAGCCCAAAATAAATAAAAACCTTTACAGGAAAAAATAGTAACAAATTAGAATATAAATCTAAATAATATACATAAAATATTTACTTTTAAATATGATAAAGATGCCTGCTAATATTATATTAATCACTAGTCAAAAAGTAAATATTAATAACTATAATAAACTGAATCTTGTTAAAAAAACAAAATTCTTCCCAAAATCAAAATGAAAACATATCTAGTGAAAATATTTTATAATTATCAATAGATTATTCTAATTAAATCTAAATCTATTAAAAACTAATGACTATGAAGAAATATTTTAAGTAGTAAAAATGTACAGAAAACCACTAATTTCAAGAATTTTAGCCACATAATTTTATTATTAACTTCTGCATTTGTATAAAGGTAAAACAAAACAATTTTTTTCAAATACCTGATAATACAGAATTTAAAATTCAAATTAATAAAAAACAACAATACTAAAGAGTTAGTTTTAGACAAAACATTTTTCTAAATATCTATAAAATGTTATAGTTCAGGTAATTAATACTTAGATTAATAAGAAATAACAAAAATAATAAATTGTTTCCAAAAAACATATCCTAAAAATTGCAAGATTTCAAAATACAATAAACTTATATAAATTCGAGAAAAATTAGCAGTGCATATAACTAAGTGCATAAACGGTAGCATGTAACTAAAACAAAATTTTAATGTTATAATTTATCAAAATTAAAAAAAAAATTGAGCTAAAATCAAATTAAAATAAAAATAATTGAAAATTCATCTGAACTAAATAATTAAAGAAAATGCACAAGTCTAATAAATAAAAATATTATTTTTTAAATTTTGAACTTTCGTATTTAATTGATAAAATTGAAATAAAGTGTACAAAAATATTTCAAACTAGAAAAAATTAATATAGGTAAAAAATACATACCTTAAACTGCGTAGTTATATTAAAGAAAAGATTACAAGTGCAGTTAGTTACACCTTTATCTAATAAATCAGCACAACTCTCTCCTTTATCAATAGGGTTTGAACTGTTACAATAGGTATAAGGAATTTGCTTTTCTTGTACCTAAGATTATACAAAAGTAAGATTAGACTTCTTTCCACAAAAATAGCACTGTTGAAAAATAACTTAGGAAAAACACTAGCAACTATTTTAAAAACAATTTTTTTTAAAACAATTATAAAACTAATGAAATAAAAATGTTAATGAAATAATTATGAATGAATTACAAATGACATTTAACAAAAAACTCATATTATGCAATTTGACCAAGTTTTTTTAAGAGATAAGGTTCTAAAACCAAATGATATTAATGATCACTGCATATAAAAACAGAAACTATCTTCCCTTGCTTTAAACACAGTTATTGTACGTTAAGCAGAGTGTGCAACCAAATTTTTCAACAAAAAATAAGCACCTTTTAAGTATTTTTTAAGCATTCAAAATAGTATATTTTTAAGCAATTTAAAAAATATTATAATTAGGATAAGTACACTCATATTTTTCCCCCTTTATATTGCTGAAAGTTCTTTTTATATACATGTTAACAAAATGTAAAATACTTTTCATGATCATGATAAAATAACTAGTTTCTGACAAAGAATTATTTTCTTGATTATATTAACCACCATAAAAACAATTTTAAATAGATTCAATATTGAGTGAATCATTCAATTTTTTAAAATTAATAATTACTTTACACAATCATGTAAAAAAAATTATTCAAAATTATAAATAATTAATTTAACTGTTATTTAAAAAGATTATCTCTCTTGCAAAATGCAGCAAAGTTGCTCATGAGAATGCATGAATCCTTCCCACCGAATACAACCCAGTATTCGAACCCGCAAATATTTCATAAAATGATTGGCGCTTTCATACGCTACGGACTGAAATATATTGTGGTTGAAGGAATTACGAAAACGTTGAATAGAACAATGTGAAAACCACGTTTTTTTCGTAATTTGAGGCAAAAATAGATATGGTAAAGAAGAAGAAAAAAACTCATTTTGGAAAAGGGAAAATGAAGCACTTTATTAAAACACCAAATGAAAAAAGCACCTCTAAGGGCTTCAAAAAAGGAAAATCAAACTAAGCACCTTAAAGCATTTTTTAAAAATGCTACGCAAGTATACTTAAGGTACTATTAAAGTATACTTAAAACTTTATGCGTCTCTCAACCAATTTCTTAATAAATGAAAAGCATAGTCTGAATATAGACTTGGATTTTGAATTTAATGACCAATTAAAGACAAAACCTTATTATTACTAATACATTTACAACCAACATTATAAAGTATTGTTTGCATTTAGTTTAGTTATGTTACCATAATTATTTGATTTTGCATAAATTTCAGAAATCTGATATAATTTTGCAAATTATTTCCTGCTTGCAATATAATTTACTAAAAATCCAATTCTTATAATATGACCTATATTACTTACATGCTTTTAAATGGATAATATAACCTCCTGTTTGGTATCAAATTCAAAATTTTTGTTCAAAACTTTATAGTCAATATATTGGTTTAAAACAAAACATTCAACTTCAAGAACACTGGCATTTCAACAATTCTATTTTTAGATTTCAACTAATTGAGTGCATGTGCATTTCATTCAATTGATATTATGACACTTATTCAAGACAAATGTTTAAAAAGATAAAATGGGGTGAATGCATTTAGGTTCACCTTCTTTCGACACAAGCTTGCAAGAGAAAGATTACAGAGTGATAGTGACAGAATACTTAAAAAGTAATGTCTTTCATACCCCTTTGTTGTCATTCACTTTGTCTTTCACTTCCTTTGTTGTTTAATTTCAAACTATAGAAAGGATGTGCTTTAGGATAAGGTTATGGATTTGGGGGGCCATTATACTTTTTTGTGCTATTTGACAATAATAAAATTATAATTTTACATCTAAAGGGTTATTCAATATGCTCCCTACAACGGTATTGAATAAATTCTTGAGATTTATAGTTCTACCTTTCTGACTCTCGCGATTTACTTCACTTCCCTGATGAAAAAAAATTTATGAAATTAGTTAATTGAGGAAAGTGTGTTCTATTAATTTTTTTATTTGCCTCATTTAGCTTGCTCTTAGCACCATGTCTAGGAGAAGCATAACAACACAACAAATGATGACCTTGTGAGAATAATTTTCTGATCTAATTCAGATCTAGAGATTTCCCAATTGGAGAATTACAAGCCATTTTCGCTCAAGGGATACAGCGTTCGCCTTCCAATGAGGTGAACCAGGTTTGAATCCCAGCGATCACTGGTCGATAGGAATTCAGCACCCGGCTGGCAGCAATGACAGTGTTGACATAAAATATCCTCAGTGGCAGACGGATCATGGGTTAAAGTCTGCTCATCATCAGACTAACCATGGAGGTCTTCGTGGTTCTCCTTTCCATGTAACACAAATACAGATTAGTTCTATCCAAAAGTCCTAGATGAAGGCAAATTTCTCCCAATACTTGATCCAAGAGTTCCCTTGTCTTCTGGACTGGGTAAAAAATTACAAGACTCATCAAACGAAAATTACTAGTCGTAAACCCAAAAAATTGATCAGTTGATCAATAACAGTGATAAAATAAAATAAAAAAAATTAGAGAATGATAAACCAGGAATTTTAATAGATAGGGAAAACATATAAGAAAATTAAGGAGTTGCACTCTAGATAGTAATGCAAAAGAAAAAAAAATTGCCATAAAAAGAAGTTACACTAGCTCAAAATACAAAATAATTATGTCCAAATGTCATATAACTAAACCTTGTTAGTCATGATACAAAACTTTAATTTGACATTACTTGGAGTTAGGAATAATGACTATAAATAAAGTGCAACTATTAAGAACACCACTGCAACAGGAAAGAATAAATTTTGATCATCTGAAATTCGTTATTTTGTTACGTAATGATACTAATAACTTTGGACGATTAGAGCACTACAATAGTACATTAAATGACTTACTTGATTTGAAGAAACAAGCAGACCAATTCCAACTGGTATAAATGCCAATCCAATGATGAAAAAAGTAGGTAATACAGTTCCTGCAGTTAAAATAGGCTGCCAGGCAGGGAGCTTTTGTTGTTTGAAGGCACTATCTGAAAATATGAATTAAGTTAAAATCCTATTAAATATTATGCATAAAATTAAATGGACATATGTTCCTATTTAAAATAAATGGCAAATACTAATTTTTTTAGAAATCGCTTACTTAATTTTAAAAAAAATTATTGTCGAAAGATTATTCTCGAGTATTTTTTTCATGAAATTTAGAAAATATGACTTTTAAAATTGACGCTTACAAACTTTCTCCCAAATAAAAATACTTTAACGTAAACAATGTAACTGAATGGACATAAAATATAATATTAAAAAAAAAAACTCTGATGAAAGAAAAATTCTATAAACTAATATTCAATATTTATATGATACAGGTATATCATAATTTTATTAATAAGGTCATTATAATTGCTACTAAATTTAGTCAATAAATGAATGGAAATAAGCATATTAAAAAAATTTAGATGTTTTAAGCTTACCATGAAAACATTTAGATAACCTTATTTTAAAATATAAAAGGAATGGAAAAAAAAGTTAAGGATTAGGTAGAAATATATCCATTGTTTGTAACAGTAAATTAGTGCTCTACTACAAGATTTGCAGAATATTTTTCAGACAAATTTGATGTTTTCCTGTGTATATTTAGATTAACAATAAAATTTGGAACTTGCATTTAAAAAAATATGCGGAAAAATATTCATATTGAATAATTAGAGAATAGAGTAAAAAAATGCAAAAACGATTGGATTGTTAAGATTAAAAATATAGTTAGAAAAATTAAAATAGTAATTCATAAACAGTTGGGGGAAAATGTTCACAACTTTAAAATGTATCGCAAAAACAAAATTGTTTCATAATGATAAATGAATAATAAATAAACATTAGGTAAACAAAAATTAAAAGAAATAAAAATATGTAATTAGTATATAAAACACTCCTAGTAAGAAATTATCTCTTTGATAATACAATAAATGATTGAAAAATTTAAGATAATTACTGGAAGGTTTTTTCGAATTCAAATGTGAGTCTGCAGACACTTGAGAAGCCATCTTTAATAAATTTGTTTTGGTTTGATTTTCAACGTTGCCATTTAAATTATGCAAACTCAGAAAACGCCTGCACAAAAATTAGCAGCCAGAAACATACATTAAAAATCTCAATATATATTTGCGCTGTCTAATGACTATCTAGCAGCATTAGTTCGCATTTGTTTTAAACATATACTAAACTGACTACTAACTATAGTTTGTCTACAGTAAGAGTTCCCCCGCAGCAAAGTCTAAGTCTGCATGCTGCTATGGAAGCAAGAATAACGCCTTTCAGGAAGGGTAACTTCTCTTCACTCTAGGGCAAACACAATAGACCAGAAACAAAGATTCCCTTTCTCTCGCAGACCCGAGCTAAAACTTGTCATAAACAGTGACCCTACACCCCTACTTAAGATAGTATACCTAGTTATTATTGTCACCTTAACGGGTCCTGACGAATGGCTAGGAGGGTTCTGTAACTCGCTTTATAACTAGACTAACTATAAACTCCCCATAAAAGGCCCAAGCCTACAGCTTTCTTGATCATGTGCTCAAGGGTGCAACAGCAGACGTTTCAGTAGGGTGGTCAGCCGAACACGAAACTCCCAGCGTTTGGTTTCCAAGCATGCTTGGTCCTCATTTTATCAGCACAGAAGGGATGAAAGGAGGGGTCAACCTTGCGGAGAATCAAACCAAAGACCCGTGACACGAGAGCCCAAAGCGCTACCACTCAGTCACTGGGCGTCATCGTGAACATATAAGATTTAAAAAAATAACATTTTTTAAAGCTAGAAAGAAATTCTATGGCGTCCTCTTAAAATCTGACAGACTTGTAAATTATCTACTTCTTCCTCGACCACATTATAATATATATATTCCTGAGTAATACCTTTTCTAACAAGCGGCATCTTAAATTTTTATTTAATTTTGGCCCAATCTATTAAAATTTTGGATTTGGTCATATGAAATTACGTACTTTAAAATGTTGTAAAAATATGTATTAATCGCTAGGTATCAAAAACAATAATAAATAAAAATATTTTTTACACAGAATAATGCTTGACTTTTCAGATTTAAGTATAAAATGTTTTATGAGCTTAACAATAAGAATCTCTATTACTTGATTATAAACTTCATACATTTCAAAAATATGTAAATAACAATAAATATTTTTGGAGAGAATAACGTTTTTATTAAGTAATATCTTACCACTTCAGTTTTTTTGGATTGTATTTACTTAATATCGGGATTACTATTTCAGGTACCCCCGCTAAATTGTTCCCAGGGGTACGGGAACAGTTTAGCGGGGGTACGTGTTCTTATGCGAAATAACTTGCAACAAACGAAAATTTCAAAATTAGCCATGCAAATTTACGAAAGTTTATGTACTTTTCTATTGGTTATTTTTTGCTGAGTTTAACAGTTAATAATTAGTAGTGTCAACTGCCAGTTGTGATTTTTAACTTTTGTGCAATTTTTTTTATGGTAAAAAATGCATTCAATTTAATCAGGGGCACACAAATACATTTTTAATTAGGGGTACACAACGTAACGAAAAATTTAGAAAGGGTACACAAAAGTCATAAGTTTGGGAAACACTGATCGAGAATCAAAATCTGTTAAGAAAGAGGCATCTTTAAAAATAATGAAAAATAATTGCTTTTTAATGCAAAATTTTTTAAATGAAATAATTGTCACCACAATTATTTATCATATTGAAGACTACTCTTAAGCGATTAAGATTGTATCTCTTAATACGCAATAAATTCTATTATTAGGTGAAAATTATTAAAGTGCTCCATTTATTATTTTGCGCACTGTACAATACTTAAAAAAAGAAAGAAAGAAAAAACGGATTACCTTGAATAACTTCTGATCTAATAATCGGAATTTTGCGTTTTTGACTAAAGGCTCAAGGGCGCGATCTCAGCTATGCCTATGCTAAGTGCCGACGTCATTTTAAGTTACGAAATCAGACACAAAACCATACTTTTTCTGAATAAACATAATTATTTTACGAATTTGGATTTCTGACTCCCAAAATATAGGGAGTAGCCGCCATCTGGGATGTATGGTTCCAATAGAGAGCGTTCGAAAGTTCGAACCTTTAAATGTCAGTTTTACTTTTTGCGTATTTCGCTACATCTCGAGAACTTTTTAAGCGAATTGTAAAATTTTACAATTATTCACATGCAAAATGCACATTTATAAAATTCGATTATATAAAAATAATCCCATACAAAAATAACTGTTATTTAATATTTATTATTTTTATTTAATTTAATAATAATCGAAAATACGTTGAATTTTAAGGAATACAGCTTTTTACATATTTTTAAATATATTTAAATATTTTATTGTAATTTTACATGGCAAATGAAAAGTTTCGTTAAAATCAGTTGAAAAGTTCATTAAAAATCGAATTTTTAAACAAAAATCGTAAATTTAAAATTCGATTTCTTAGGAACTATTTGATCAATTTTGCTCAAATTTTATATTTTGACATGTAAAAATGCATTCTCTTAAGTGATGTAAAAACTGTGTACCCTAGAATTTATTTACTATAAATTCCTTTTTTATATGAAATTATCTTTGGATAAACGAATTTGGGCAAACATTTTTTAATTCGCTTGCAAATTTCTCGAGATATAGCGAAACACGCAAAAAGTAAAATTAACAATAAAAGGTTCAAACTTTCAACCGCAGTATGAACCAAACTATTGGGACCCTATTTCCAAGATGGCTGCCCCCTATATTTCAAGGGTCAGAAATTGATATTCGTAAAAAAGGGATATGTTTATTCAGAGTAAGTATGTTTTTGTTTCTTATTTCGTTACTTAAAATATCTTCTACACTTATTAATTAACATATTTGAGGCCACTGCTTAAACCAGGGGTCGCCAAACTTTTTTGATCATCGACCCTATATATTTTTCGAAATCTCCATCGACCCCCACAAAAGTAATTTTCTGTTAATTAAAATAAAACTCTATTAGATACTGTGTTTGTACATTTATTTTATGATTTTAAACATTTATTAAAGTAATAGTTCATTGTGTAACAATAGTTTTATGAAAAATATATTAATATTGAAATTTAAATACCTTATTATTAAATGATAAGTAATTATGCATAAGTAGATATAATAAGTAAAGATTTACTGCTTCTTGATCAATGAGATGGGTGTGCCTGGTGTTTTTTTGCAAGGTTCGCTATATTGGATTCAAAATTGATCAATTTTAATTTTCGTCAAAATTGGTCAATTTTGTAATTTTCGTAAAAAAATACAAAGTGTGCTATAGTTTTGTCGCAGGCTGTACTAATCCATATTATTAATGCTTACCTTCCTTTTTGTGCATTGATAATTAAAATTGATATCTAAACCAAACGAATGGTTTTATCGAAACAATAACTAATTATCCAAAACTATAAAAGTTTTAATAGTGACACTGCAAATATTCAACACAGTTTGCAAAGATAGCTGAAACTGCGTGTGATATTTGCATTTGTAACGTCATTGCTCGTCACACGTGACATTTGGACAAGCGCACATATGTATATGACTTATAAAGTGCGCTGAGTTCGTGCCACTGCGCGGTGGTACGTAAATACTTGTTTCACCCCAATAAATATACGTTTATTAATTTATGTTTTATAAAGAAACTGATATTGGGTCAATTATAAAAAAAAATTCACAAATTATACATACTTAATTAGGTATGTGTGATTTGCGTATTGAGAACCGTTTTTTTTCGACCCTTCCGATTCGGATCGACCCCCATTCGCCCCCCTGTCTCAGATCGACCCCCGCTTTTGCTAAATAGACCCCTGGGGGTCTATATAGACCACTTTGGCGACCTCTGGCTTAAACCAATAAGATTGAGTCCTAGAAGGTGAAGATCATAAGTTATTCAGGATGGTCCATTAATTTCTTTTTTTTTTTTTTTGCGCATCGTACATTATATGTAACAAGATGTGTTTCAATGTTCGTCTCTAAATAATAGTTTTTTCTTTTAAAAAAATATAAACTAAAAAATATTGCGGCAATTGTTTTTTTTTTTTTTTTTTTGNTTTTTTTTTTTTTTTTTTTTTTTTTTTTCATTTGATGATTTTTATAATCTTGATCATTTTACAATCGAAAATTGACGACAGAAACTACGAAAAAAATAATAATATAGGTAATACAGAAAAACAGTACAAGACTATTTTCTGATCCTTTCGTGCAGACCAATGGTCATGCTTCTTCGGTTGTCCTTGAAAACATCTTAAAGAAACGCATTGACCTCTCATTTGTCAGGTAACCACTGGAAAAACGAGGTGAAATTGAGATGTTCATTTATGTTTAATTCATGCGAATAAAAAAAAAAGATTCTATCAAAAACATCAAGCGATTTTGAATTCCCTATTTGAACCAAAAATAAAAATTCAAATTAGAAAACGATAAATAAAACACGCCATTTATAAATTGTCTGTTGAAAAAAAATTTATTCTTTTATCATGCATAAGTATTAGTATTAATATTTATGCATATAAAGCTCCTAACTTATTTTGAATATCGAATTAACTTATTAGTACAAGGTGTAAAATTAACTTTAATGCAAGATGTCACAGTATAATAATTAAAAGAAAAATAGAAACCATATCGTTAAATAAATTAAGACAAAATAATGCGAATTAAAATACATAATGTTAAGCAAAACATTATATTTCAATCGTTTCCGGCACAATTTATTATTTCAAAAATCACTTAATTAAAATTATAATTTTGGTAAGCAGAAGTCTAAAATTATAAGTTTTGAGTAAAATATAAAAATTTATGAAATATTTTTCAAAATAAGAGCAAATGCTCTTATTTTGAAAATTATTGCTTAAAATCTGCAAATTTTTCATGTCACGCTAACAGCTCTACAATAAATTGCAATGCATAAATGAAAATTTCTAAATATTCTTATTTAAAGCTTGATGAAAATAGAAATTCACACTTAGACCTTAGCTTTTGGTTCAAAACATTGTACTATTATGCAAAATCTACATACACAAAACGCCAAAGATTTCTAGAGTATAAGATTCTATAATAAATTTTATTTGTAATGTGTGTAAGCGTAAAGATTTTTTTTTCCGAAATCAACGTTTTTTAGAAAATGCATTTAAAATGCAAGGAAATTCTGAAAACAAAAAAGTTGATTAAGTTCTAAAAAGTAAATTTTATTCGCTTTAAAAACATAATTTATTTCATACATAATAAATTTTCGGAAAATTACAACCGGTCAGCGAAGAAATTACTATAAATTCATTTTTATAAATCGAAGATCAAAATTTCAAAGTGTTTTGAAAAGCTAATGAAATAAAAGTCAAAGATGAATAATAATTATAATTATTATTATAATAATAGTAATAGAATTTTTTGTCGAAATAATTAATTTTTACCCTGTCGGTTACTTTAAAAATTAGGAAATGATCTTAAAAACATGTCAATTTGTAATTGTTTGCTAAAAAACTATTTAGAGCGTGTGTTCTTTCCTTTCACGATAAAATATTAATAAAATACTATTTTTTAATTATGTGTAAGATACTTTTCAAACAAAAGATTATAGAACTGGACTAATTGGTTGTAATATTCGAAAAATAATTTTGCACGTGATATTTTTTGATAAAAAAATCATAAAAATGCGAATTTATTTAGGTTTGGAGCGCAATAAGCAACGCGTTATTCATTGTATGCATTATCTGAAATTAATTAACTTTTTGTTTATTTTAATAAAGAGATTAATTACCCAGGTTTGAGGTAATTAGTGATCACTTACAGGATACTCGGTATTACAGAAATGAACGCAAAAATAAATTCGTTTGATAAATTATCAATGTATTTATATATAGCTTACAGAACGTTTATTTTGATATTAATATGCTTTACGAGAAAGAAAAATTGTCATTATTCAACCACGATCTATTGGCCAGTGACCGAAAGGCTTAGTGGAAGAGGGTTTCTTTTTTATCGGTATGGAAAGTTAAAGCACCCGAAATAGCGAAATATCAATATATCTTTTTTGGCGAGAATTAGAAACTGGTACACCATGATTCTTTGGTTTAAAACGATAGAGCATCAGAGCTTAAGTTACATTTTTTTATTCGTTGGAATAAGCTCTACCAGTTCGCTATACTCTTACTTTCCGCACACCAACTCGGGTTGAGAGACTTATAATCTAAACAGAATAATTAGTTTTGAAATTAAATTACTACTTTACCCCGGGTGTTTTTTTCTTCTTTTTTCTCACACTATCATTGAAGAATTGGTTCGCATAGCGGATGTGCGTCTTTTACGTTTTTAGCACTGCAATTTGTAAATTTTTAACTCAACCTTGTAAACAAAAATTATTGAGACAAGAAAAACTTTTTAAAAAAACTTATCAGATTTTAATTAATCATGCATCACTTTCGAATTTTGGCTTTTGATGATTAAACAAATTGCAGTTTTATGTAGACAATCAGTTGGGAATATATGCGGAAAAAAAATATTTTACTCGAATTTAAAAAAAAAAATGGATTCCAAATATAAATAGGCATTGATTGCGTCTAAAAGGTTAAAAATTAAACGAATGCACGACCAAGATGATCCTTCGTGCGATTAAAATAAAACAAAAGATGACAAACAAAAAAATAATAAAAAAAAAATTGTTTACGAATAATTATAAAGATCACCTTACTTATTCCGTTTTTAGAAGTGGACATGCAACGATGCGATCAATATCTGCATCCATTCATTTTTTGGGGACAAACGGAAATTTACAGAGTGGACACAAGATCGCGTTAACAGCTCGAGTGCATCCTAAATTGCTTCTAAAAAGGAATCAACGTCGTTGAGCAAGCTGTAAGTTGAAATGTTAAACTTTCTATGACTAAATTTTTGTAATTTTAATCTTGGATACAGTATTTACTAATTTAGTTAAAATATTTATTAATTTTTAGTCATAATTTTTAATTTTATGTATCTAACTGTACGTACTTTCTAATTTTGATCATGAATGCTATATTTTATTAGTACTGATCTATGGCGTAATATGCTTTCCTCGGCTGAATCATGTATTATATAGCTGAAGAACAAGGTATATTTTGTATTACAGTATCAAATAAACTAAAATAAATATCTATCTATACTGTAATGTACCAATCGTACCTGTACTTTCTCATAGTATTGAAACGATGCAACAATCTTTTTCTCGCGTGTTTAATAAGTCTTTTCTGTGTTTGTGGTTATGGTTTCAATTGTTTTATCACAGCTGCAAGCATAACTTTATCATTATACTATCACCAAATATAATTTATAATTAAGTTTCGATGACTTTCTGATTAGTTAGAGCACTCAAATTTAAACTGGAATTCCGTTTAAGATGAAAATAGAAGTTTCAATCATTTTAGAATTCATAACACCATTTTATAGCCCATCGTTACTTTGACCGTTTTTCGACGATTTTATTTTATAACCGTCGTTGAACAACTGACCCAATTTTGAATTGACAACTATCAATGTTCAACTCCGTAAACCCAACCCAGGCGACAAGGGAACTCCTGGATTAAGTATTGGAACAAACTAGCTTTATTGGAGGACTTTTTGACGGAACTAATCCTTATTCGCGTTGCATGGAGAGGAAAACCACGAAACTCTACCTTGGTTAGCCCGACAACACAGGGTTTGTGACCCATGATCCGTCAACCATTGATGATATTTTTACGTCAACACTGTGGTCGGTTCGAGCAGGGAGCAAAATTCGCATCAACCAGCCACAGCTGGAATTCGAACCTGGTTCACCTCATTGGGAGGCGAATGCGCTGTCGCCTGAACCACCGCGGCGCTTACCGACAATTTTATAACCGTCGTTGAACAGTCGACCCTATTTTTGGCTTACGACTATGTATGTTCAACTCCATCGCCTTGTAATTTTGAGCCCAATCCAAAAGACAAGGAATCTCCTGGATTAAGCATTGGGAGAAATAATGTTATTATGTATGCTATTATACGTTGTTCTACTGTATATTATATTGTATATATATCTTAATGACAAGTCAAGCTAATGCAGCTTGTCAAAAAAATGCATCTGTGTAAAGGACATTTTGGGGAAAAAACAATTTCGCATTTGAATTACGTAGATGAAAACTGCACAAACCTCAAATTATCTTATAACTGTAAGCAATATTTGAACAAAGGAATAGAGACATTTTCCCCCCACGCTTAGAGTTTTGTATTCGTTTATCAAAAGTACTTTGGGTTTAATAAAGTAAAGTAGTGCGAAGTTTTCATGTTTTTATTTTTTGTGCAGATTGAGTTAGTGCTAGTCGTATGAAATTAATATCACAAAGATGATTAGTCTGCGTAGGGACCGAGGGTGTGTGGTATTGGTGATCGTTAAACTGTTCTACCGTAAAGTGCTCGATTTCACGTGTAGGTCGTCTGGCTATCGACGTGGAGGTGCCATCCCCTCTGCAGAGGATCAAAATTGTGATGTCATGTCTTCGGATCATCCTGAGGGATGTTTCCCAGATTGTCGCCAATAGCCCATTGTGCAGCTCTCGTGCGACGTAAATTAACTACAACAACAACAACAACATCACAAAGAGCGAATTTCAAAGATCTAGCTAGCAGCTGACTTGTGAAATGTGTTGAAAACATTTCTTAATAAGTTAAGGTGTTTGAATCGTGTTCTTTATCAAATCGTGTTTTTTCGTTTTTCGGAATAATTAGCTATCGTCGCATGAAATGATGCTTTTTTTGAGAATAATATGCTAGTTTTATAGCTAATGTAAGTTAGTACGCAACTATTCATGACAATTAGATCAAGTTTAGCCTATGTTTAGCCATCGTCTTCTACGTTTATTTTGAAAATGGCGCAAAACGATATTTTCGTTGGCGAAAGAGCTGCGAAAAATCATGTTCATACTAAATAAGACTTACTTATTAAGATAAGAAATTTCTAATTTTTGGCTACGTATTCCTCAGATTATAAGAAAAAAAAAAAAACAATATTGACATTTTGTAATGATCGGAAAAATTAGAGAAAACTAAAAAAATCAAATTAAATGAAAAAAAACTAAATAAATGAATGAAAATGTAAATTTTTTCTTCTTTTTTTCTAGAGGCTATGCTGGAGCAGCTAGGCCGTCTGATTTCAGTTCTTTTCATTATTAATATATGTTCACGGATAGTGGCAGACATCGAAAATAAACAACAACGTTTTCCTTCTTCTGTCAACCACCAGCAGCCATTTTTTAACCAATCAAATGGCATGGAAGAATCGAAGATGAAGGCAACTTGGATTTTTCTGGACAAACCTGCCGAAGAAGCTTTGAATGAAGAGAAGTTAATGAGAATGGCTAATTGGGTATCGCAAGTAACGGCACTCCCGCCACCCATGAAATATCCCAATACCAAAAGACAGGAGACAGAGACAACAAAAGAATGGCAAAAAGGACCAGAGGAGGAAATGAAAGAACCAGCTGGATCTAAGAAACCACCTGGCTGTGCACAGTATGGTCGATATTATTGCAGCTACAAAGAAGATTATCCCGTGTAAGTGGTAGTCAGAAGTTCATCTACAAGAGGAACTATCTCCGCTGATCAGCGAATTTAAATATAATTCAAGTTCTAAAATGATTCATTATATATTAGGTTATTGAGTAAAGTAGTAGATCATTTGGAGTCAAATTTTTAGAATTTATTTGTTTAAAAAGAAAATGGCGAGGTTATAAATGTCTTCAAACAAGAAGTTTAAATTCGCTGATCAACGAAGATAGTTTCCTTATTTTTTAATTAGGACAATAATTTTTTTAAAAAGCATTTTTGAGATGTACTAAAATGCAACAGTTCGCGAAACTTATTCTAATTGTTGTAAATCATGATAGCTTAAAATGATATTACATCACGCAATATTATATTAAACCCAAATAGCATAAGTATATCAGTAATATAAATAGCAATAAAAATAGCAATATAAATAGCAAAATAAATAGTAATACAAATAGCATAAGTATATTAAAATATTATTGTCAATTTTGAAAATATTGTCACATATCATAAAGACGTGTGTACAATATTGAATCCATGTCTGAATTTTTGTAAATTCTTAAAAGCGCCACGAGTTTTTAATTTTCATTTTTCAGTGAAATTGGAACATAATCAGGCTTTAAATATTTATTATTTAATCAAGTAAAGAGAAGTATGATATTTACTTTTAAAAATGAAAAATTCATAATTGTTTAATTAAAATTTATTTCTCTGGCACACTTCCAAGATAAGTTGACTACACCAAAGTATAATTTTATTCGCAATTCGTAAACTATAACTTTAATACGAATGAAATGCTACAATTATTGATATAAATCGCTAAAATGTAAGTACATTATTGAATCTTTTTTTTTTTTTTTTTTNTTTTTTTTTTTTTTTTTTTTTTTTTTTTTTTTTCCTGTCGCTGGGTTGTAATATTTAGTGAAAAGCACGATCTTGAAATAAGTTTTATATTTCCCATTTTAAATTGGAATATATTCCTGCTATATTGCATCTGAAAAATATATTTTAAAATCCAAAATTAAATGAATAATTAAAAATAATTCCTTTAAGCTTATGAAACCTTTTCTGCTGCATCACTAAAAAAAAAAAAAAAAAAAAAAAAAAAAAAAAAAAAAAGACGCAGAAAACACACTAAAGATAGTAATTAATATTTACTTTTTTACTATCCCTCAAAACATTCCTAACATATTATCCTATCTCTTAAACTATTATTGCGTTAAATAGTTTAGTGCGACGCAGTTTTTCTTTGAAGTAGTAGGTAAAATGAAATATTTCTTGATATTGTATCAAAAAATGTATTTTAAAAAAATGAATGCTTAAAAATAATTCCCGACCATGCATGCTTACGTTACATTTTGTCTCCCCAAAAGGTAAAAGAAAGCATAATTTATCACATGCACTAATGTTCTAATCTCTAATGTTTCAGAGACGTGGTGAGCCAAGTAATTAAGTACATGAAATGGCCATTGGAAAAATTATTCAGAGATTTAAAACAACAAAGAATGCCACGAATAGCAGAGAATGCAGACGGTGCTCTAGTGTGTGATTCCATTACCCGTATGATTCGTCCTGGATGGGCGAAGAACAACAACGGCAGATGGGTCGTTATTATCAACACAGAACAGTATGCGCAGTTTGTGACAGAAGTTATATGCAGGTAAATAATTATTCACAGGGTGTTTTGTAATAACTGCTCTTAATGCATGTTTTTAGAATCCTTGTTTAAAAGAAGTAAAAAATATATGCAGCATATAAGTAAAAAATTAATATTTATATAAGGAAGAACAAAATATTTTCAAATCGCGATCCAGCACTTTTGGAAGTTTGTAAGGAAAAAGTAAACATAAGAGTTTGAGGTAACATGATGATAAGCCACAGTTTCAAATTTTTATTTTAACTCACGTTTTTGATAACACCACGATATCCAGTAAGACAATAAAGTGTTTTCTGGGTGTTGTGCTGTTATCTAATGGAAATTCCAAAATAAAAATTGTAAATTATCAAGCTGGAAACAATAATAAGGAATAGTTTGAAGTAAAAATTTCCTCGTTGAAAAAAGTGTGGCTTAACACTAAATTTTCCTTAGCCCATGAAAACAAATTTACTTGAAATAGAACTTAAAGCCTAAAATACTCAATTTCACTGGACAAATCAACTGTTTTTTATGATTTTAACTTTTCCTTTGATATTTCCAGCTCAAATAATTATTGCCCTGATTTCAATTTTTTTTAATCACTTAAACAATAACTTATGACCCATGACAGGCATAATTTTTGAGAATTCTAAAAAGGTGAATTAAACTGCCTAATCACACATTTTCAGGATTTTTTGTATTATGACATTTGAATTTATTCTAAGCTGAAACGTTATCACGCTTTCTGCAGTCTCATGATTGCAAAAACGAAGCGTCATTTTCCTCTTGTTCCATATTTCCACAGCTAGAAAACAGCTACCTTAATAAGCTTCCATGGTAATAAAATGAAATATTACTATTTTTAAATTTAAGCTTATTAAAAGTGAAAAATTTTACAGACGAGATATCTTTTAGTTAAAAATAGAAATCAAGTATTGAAAGCTTTGTGACAAACACACTTTTTTATTCAAGTCATTTATACTATTTCAATATTTAGATTTCTGATAGTATTTGGTGTTACAATATAGTAATGCAACGTCATGAAATATCGATTTTCCGGTTTAACTAATTTACATTGATAAGCATTTTTTTTATTCCAATGAAATTTATCAACAATACGTTCATTCGATATTTATGGTTGTCGACAATTTTAGCGAAAGTGTAGAGTTTGTAATCATCCGTATTCTTTATTTAAAGCTTTTTTGCTATTGACCCCGATATTATTGTTATCGTTTGTTCGTTATTTTTTTGAAAGCATTGTATATCATAATGCGTTGTGAGAATTAAAACATAATTATTGTGTTACTTAAAGAATATCTTTATTTCACAATTTCGTAGCTCTTGTTACTAAATAGCGTCTGAAAGAATGAAAATAGGTGATAAGCTTGTAACATGTTTTTTTATCACAAAAATATCTAAGATGATAAATATTTATATTAGCTTCAATAGTTCACCAACTAGTGGGTGATTTAAGTATGTAATATGTGTACAAGATTGTACACATTGCGCTGGTTCATTGAATACTAGAAGTTTAACAAGCAATACTTTATTTAACAATTGTAAATAATCAAACCAAAATCATTGCACTATTGAAATGGTAGCCACGACTGGCTCAAACAAGAGTTCAAGAGCAACTGACTAGTTCGAAACAATTACAACAGATGGCGTTTCGCTTAAGACTGAACAATATGATTTATGGATATAGAGTAACGCGTGTATTTTCCAAATAAGGTCAAGGTCGAGCTCTTTTTAACGAACTGTGATTTAACGAGAATTCGGATTCAGTAAAGAAGTTGGAAATACTTGGTTAGTACAATATTTAGCCTATTACAGTATAGCTCGCTTTTAACACGTTAACTTCGGTTATAACGATCAATATTTTGTGGCCGAAAAAGAAGAAGTAGACTAGAGAATAATTTGAAAGTTATGCAAGTGTTGTTGAAAATGTTTTCACTTTCGAGATACCTACTCCCGAGGATATTGTAGCTGAAATTTAAGCTGTTTTTTTCTCCTTTTTTTCAAGCTAAGGCAGATGAAAAATATTTATAAAAGAATTTCCAACTGAACTGCCCTGTTAATGTTAGTATTACCAGTGGTCAATACCAGCAATCCTGCTTCGTGAAACCAAGCGAATTTTTAAGGCAGAGAGTGCGTTTCTTGTCTTTCAGTGGCGCCGTCAATGGCCAAGGATACGACTTAAGCCACACACACCTCACAGCCCGTTTTATAAGGCGGACTCATTCGTACTCCATTCACAGATCGTCATCAAGACCCGAATCAGAGAACAATCAGTCTCCAATTCAGTACCCCCAGAGGTATTAATTTGTTATGGTAATTCGGAGGACATTGTGACCCCGAAAGATTTAACGTGCACCAATCAGCATTCAGACAGGATTCGAACTCCCGTTCTCACGATCATGAGCCCAACGTCCTACCAACCAGGCTATTCCGGACCTTTGAACTGCCCTAACATTGCTAAATGGTTTTACAGTGCGTTACAGTTTCACAGTAGAAAAATTGCAAACTTTTTTCGAAAGTAAGAGTTCCTTTGACAATGTCTTTCGGGCCTTAAATCTTATTTAAAAAGCAATAACACAACAAAAATGCAATAATATAATTCCAAGCAAATTAGCTAATTGCTTCTGTTCTGTACAGTAATAAATTATGTAAGAACTGTATTTTTAATTCAGTGACAACTTTTTCATGTACGAACTTTTACGATTTTTTCGCGAACATTTTAATGAGAACTCGGTTATAACGAGCGAACATTGCGACCCCTTCGTGTTCGTCATAGGCGAGTTCAACTGTGTTTGAAAATTATAAAATTAAGTATTATAACTGGGATAATGATTGCTATTCTCTTTTTTTATAGATACGATAATTCCTACTGCAACTTTGTACCACCATGTTATCAAGCAACCTGCCAACAAAGATACAACACCCAGACGTTATTGGCGATAGATCCATATAATCCACACAAAGGACCATTTCTTTCCAAGTTCCTTTTCCCTTCCTGCTGCGTTTGTTATGTGCCCAAAGTTAAATTTGATAAAAACAGTGACGATTATTGAAAATATGAAAAACAGGGTGTTTCTTAACGGTCACCCTTAATACATATTTCTCGAATCTTAGTAAAAAATGAAGTCAAAGAAATATGCACGTTTGGAGTTGCAATTTAATGTAAAGCTATAGGATAAAAATGTCATCAAAACTTGACGAATCACTACTGAGGAAGGCTAAATTAAAAAATTTCAGGTGAAACTAAGAAAAGGTGAAAAGTGATTGTTAGTTTCATACGGTAAGCTGGTTTTGATCCTTCCTTCCTCAATAGTGAATCGACAAACTTAGATAGTTTTTTTTTCATAGCTTAAATATTTTGTGATTCCTAATCTGCATACTTTTTGGACTTTATTATTGAGAAAGATTCTAAAAATATATATTAAAGATGGTCATTACGGCACAGCCTTCATATTGTCCGTTTTTAAGACAATATATTTTAAGTAAATGTATTAAAATATAGCAGTTTTATGTTTATTTAATTTATTTTATAACCGAATTAGCTAACAGCATGTAATATTTATGTAAAATAATTAGATTAGGAAGAGCAGGCTCTTAGATTGTTGTATTTTACTTTTAAATAAAAAAAGTTTATGAAATCTCAAGTTAGATTTTAAAATATAATTGTTATATGTTATTATTTGAATTTAAAATATAATGGTATACATTGGTTTTAATTACTAAAAAAAAAATCTAAACGTTCCTACAACACCTTGTTGTGGTCTAGAAGGGCAATGTGCATAAAAGTTTTACTGTTTCTGATCAACAACACGATTTCGGCAAAGTGGAGAGCACTGCGCACCGTCCGTCTTTACTTTTAAGACATGCGGGTACTGATCGATCGGCAGTTAGATGTGATTCAAACCGCAATCTGGGATAGAACCCCGGTACTTTACAATCACTTTACCACTGTCTACTGAGGGTCTATTAAAATTTATTTAAACAAGAAAAATATGGAAACAGTGAAATTGCTAAAATTGTGGTTAAAATTATTTAAGCACGAAATAAGAGAAATTACAAAAATTATGATTACTCAACACGTTGAAAAAAAAATTATGTACCATTGTTTTCATATACAGAGTTTCAAGGCAGGAAAAAAAAATACAGAATTTAAAATTTCTCAAACTAAAAAAGAATTACTCTGAATTCAAAATATTAGTGAATTTCATTTCAAATTATTCCAATAAATGAAAACAGTTTTTTTAATTAAACAAAAATATTCCTAAATTAGAGGGTAGATTCGGAAACAATGAGGACTTCTTGAATTTTAAGGTTCAGTTAGTGAGAAAACAGTTTAAAAGCGTGCTTCATATACCACTAGATAAAGTTGTAAAACTCTTTGAATATTATTTGTTCTCACATTCTATAGTGCTATGCGAAAAGGAGAAAAGCTTCATACCAGTTTTAGTAGCATTATAATAGCCGATAAACTATTTATCAAATAAAACTTTGCAATAAGATTACAAGAATAATAATAAGCTATCTGTTGCTACAAGGAATAACCAAAATAGAAGGACATAAAAATTAGCTGTTTGTCATATTCTGTTTAAAAAGTTTGACACTTATTCTCCTATAGTTTCAAAGTTAGTTACAAGTTTGTGAATAGGTAGCTTGCGCTCAGGTCAATATGCTCACTATTTGTAGAAACAAAATACTAGTACAGTCTGAGAAGAAAATGAACGAATATTCTAAAAAAATTATTTAGAATTGTCTACTATGCAAAAGAATTATATTTTAGCTCTAATAAGCAGCATCCGTTGACAAACATTGAAATTTAGTGAATAAATTCTTGATTCCTAAGCAGAACGCAGCTATTGTCATTTCAAATTGTCGCTTAGAACACTAATGATATACAGTCAAATCCTGCTATAATGAACCTTCAAGGGACCGAAATTTCGGTTCACTATAACTAGGACTTTTCTCTATATCCATTCTGCAAACAATTTTTAACTAATGGTTTCAAACTCCCCCCTTTTATTACACATTATTTAAATAAATGACCAATAAAATGGAATACAAAAATGACTGAAAAATAATACGTAGTAACAAAAAATGNACAAGTACTGTAAGTTATCTGACAAAGAATAGCTTAAAATGTACAAGAATATCAAAAAGAATACCTATAACAAAACAAAAAAACACATTTATTATTTATCAAAACATTTTGGTTTATAATTAACAATCTTCCTTTCTTTCATGTTTGCCCATTTTACAAATGCTTCTTGAGGCCCTCAATATTAATCATTAACAAATTGTTTACATGGTTGATTAACAACCTGTTTCGAATATTAGTTTTAATCAAATTAAGGCAGCTAAAGCCCCTTTCACAGTCAACAGTGTGCATTGGTATTGTTGCACACTACTCCAGGGCCGTAACTACGCCGGGACAGTCGGGGCACCGCCCCGGGGCCCCGACGGTCTAGGGGGCCCCATATGAAGGGACCACGCGACATGTTTTCAAAATAGTTTATATATATATGAAAGAGATTGTGTGAAGATTTGCTAAAATCTTCTTTTTCGTAGTTACAATCGACTTTAACATGGGGTGAAAGACTCTTACCGAGAATTATTTCCCTTCCTCAAAAGAGCAAAAACGCTTCACAGAAAAGCATTTTTGAAGCTATACCCTTAATAAGAAACTTTATGTTGTTCTGCAATTAACTTGAATGGGCAAATAAGGTGCCTTTTGAAATTTGGGGAAGTAAAGTGAAAAAATATCTTTATTTTCACTCTATTTTTTGAGGGTAGAAAACGTTATTTTGTTTCAAAATTGTAAAGAAGTGCTTAACCCCTTCTGAAATTTAGACATTCTCAAAAGTAAGTTTTAGTAGAATTAGTACATTCAGAAAGAAAAAAAAGCTATTTTTTTCAACGTTTAAGTTATTTTTCAAATAGAAAACTTTTCCTCCAAATAAAAAAAAGAAATCTGCTTAAATTTTTTTTTTTAAGGAAAAGCAAATTTAAAGATATTTTCCAAGTAGAAAATTTTATTTTCCTCTTAAATAAAAACGAGGGAGCTAAGAAAGTACTTTGCTTCTTCTGTAATTCAGACATTCACGAAAATAAAGATTAATTACTATTTAACTCATTTTTTTCTACTTTAAAGCTATTTTTCAAGTAGCAAACTTTATTTTCCTCGTAAATTTAATTGATGAGCGTCATTCCTTCTGAAACATTGACATTCACTACAATAAAGTAATTTTTGTTTATAAAATAGAATTAGCAATTTCAGAAAAAGAAACTANACTTTAATTAATGTTCAAAATCATAAAATAAATGTACAAACACAGTATTTAATAGAGTTTTATTTTAATTAACCGAAAATTACTTTTATGGGGGCCGATGGAGATTTCGAAAAATTAAGTAGGGGTCGATGATCAAAAAAGTTTGGCAACCCCTGCTATAACCCATGTTCATTATAGCGGAGTTTGACTCCATATACTAAAATTATCAAATAATTTGATGAGACAATGAAAATGTTTTTCTGTCATTAAGTACAACACCAAAACCATGGTCACCACCACCAAAACAAATTTTACTGTGGTAATGGAAATATGTCAATTTTTTCAAATAAATATTTAATGCTATGCATAACAACAAATGCAATGTATAATATTGAAACCCACTAAAAAGTTGCGTGGAAAAAAAACAATACAAAAGGAATTTTAAACATTTTTATTTAAATATCACTTGGGCAAGCAAAACGCTGCATAATAATTATAAATATAGCCATGAACAAAATAACACATTAATTCAAAGTGAAATTAATATGATTTTCACTTTTCTTTTTCATGACTTTAAAAAATGCAAATTGACAACGCAGACATAAAACATAATTTAGTTAGCATACAATCTATGACATAGAAATATCACTCATAATTTAGAAAACACCAAACAAGTGTTATTCTTTTTCAAAATGCTTCACTTAAATTTTCAAAAGAACGGTTGAAAGCATACAATTCAACGTGTTTTGTAATTACCCTCCCCCTAAAATACATTTTCAGAACCCTTTACAAAAATTAAATTACTTTCAAATTAACAATTTTGCCAAGAAAAATAAAAACAGTATCAAAATCTGTGGAATTATTCAAGTTAAAAATGGCATTAAAAACACCAAGACCTGTTTAATTTCTTGATCAAGTTAACAGGCTTTTCTAAAGACAGTCTTTCTACTCCTTACTGTTTACTAGGCAATAAAAGAAATTTTGCTGTTTTCAATTAGATTCCCTTAGCTTTGATTCATTATAGTTCAATAGTGTTTTTACTTCTTCTTACGACCAATATTTAATTGCAAAACATGCGTTCTTTTGACAAGGATTCTAATGATATATATTAAGAGTGATAATTACAAAACACCTTGTATATAATAGGCTTATTATGAAACAATAAAAAGTAACAAGCCACAGAGTATTTAAATTAAAAAAAAATCTGTAAAATCAGGTGCATACTTTTTTGTTTTATAATTCAGTATAATTGCTGGCTTTGGGGGTACGTATGAATACATATATAAACATACAAGGATTTGCAAATCCTTCCATGACAAAATTTTTAAAAAAAATTATGTATGGCGAAAACAACATTTTAACACAAAACCAAAGAACAGTAATGCTAGTTTACATTCTATAACAGGATGCCTCCTAGAAATTTTCAATTTTATAAAAATCAGTATATATACACTAAGAGAATTTTTTTTTTTAAATGTGGCTTGTTATTGTTCCTTAATAAGCTCTTCATATCAATTTTGGTAAATGAGAATCCAATGCATCACAAAGCAACTGTTTTTTTTTCAATATTTCTCGTAGTCTTCACTGTAGTAATAACATTCACAAAGTAGATTTCTCTAAAATGGAGACTCTTTTTATCTTATTAGAATTTGACTTAGATCACTCAACAATATTCAGGGAAAATTTCCGAGTTCCAAATACAGTAGAGAACCGATTATCCGGAATGATCGGGACTATCGCTATTCCGGATAACTAAAAAACCGTTAAACCCAACTAAAAAAGAAATATATTTATAAATAATCTTAAAAATAAGAAAAAACGATGAGGTAATACACTAATGATTATTTCTGAAATGATGGTAAGGTAAACATCTTTCAAAAAAGAAAGAAAAATCCTAAAATCTGATGAGGAAAATTTTTTTTTTTAAAAAAAAAAATTGCGGGAAAATTCATCGAATTTCGTTCCGGTTTTTTGGTTTTCCGGTTTTCTGATTTCCGAATAACGGGTTCTGTACTGTATTCCTTCCTTAATAACAATAGGAGAATATATACCATTTATCAAACTCAATTCATTTGTGCTCAGCAACAAAGGGAATTTGATAGAATCTCTCTTACAAAATGGATCAGACAGTTTTCACCTAACAACCAAGAGATTTCTTGGATAGAAGAGAATGATTCCTGCTGTCCAATGAGTAGAACAAATTACCTAAATTGTCTTACTTGTATAAATTTGGTAGTTTAAATACTTGGGGATGGTTGCAACTAATTTTCCAAAATAAATCTGTTTTCAAATGTAGTATCTGATTTTACAATTATTGGAATATTAAATTTAATGAAGACTATGACAATTTTTTTTTTCCTTATCAGAAAATAAACTAGGAAGTTAAATCTTGCTGACTAACAGGAAATATTACTTAATTCTGCAGTGAAAGTTAATTTAATTCTTAAACTGGCATTACTGTTTTTACACTTAGTGAAAAACAATCTAACTACCTAAATAAAAATGCATACAGTTTATTTTTGGACAATTTTGATTAAAGTTCGTGATTTTAAAAACTTAGGTTTACAGTTAGCTGAATTTCACAAATGTAATTAAAAGTGAAATATACATACAATATATTTCGAATAATATTAATTCAGCAAAACTGTTTAATAGCAATACATAATGATTGATTCAAATTAATTAAAAATGGAAAAGAAATGAACCAAAGTAACTACTGAAAAACGAAATAACAAAGCCAAAGAAAAAAAGTAATAACAATAATTTTACATTTATTACTTTTTAATACTTGAAATGACAAAAAAAAAAAAGAAAAAAAAGATAGTTTTTTATACCTTTAATGTAGGTTGAAAAATACTTCTTTATACAACAACTCAACTAATTTATTTATTAAGAAAAAAGTACTCCAGGGAAAGATAATTTCTTAAAATTTAAAATGAATGCCATTTAAAAATTTAAATTACTTCACATTATAATGCTTTGTAGATTTTTAAATCAGTGTTTTCTATAATTTTTTTTTCTTTGAATCAATATCTTTTTTTATAAACGAATTTAAATTAAGCTGATTTAAATCAATGAACCCTGATTGGGATAGTAAAAATAAGTAAATATAAATTGCATTTAATTTAGTTTTTAAGTAATAAGTTTTCTATTAATGTCAGATTAATAATCATTCAGCATTGGAAGTTTTATTAGTTTTTATAAATGTTTTAAAGATGACAGTAGCTTACTGAAATCTCCAAACTTGAGAAAGTCAGACGTAGTTTATCAGAAATTCATGGTTGCAGTGTTCTTAAAGAAGTGGTAATAGTGCCTCTGGACTAAGATTGAAAGGCTTCAATCATTCCCCCTTCATCAATCAAGTCTCTAATCAATAATCATCAATCAAGTCTCTAATATTTTTCTTATAAAAATTTGACAGATATGACATTTTAAAAAGCGAATTCTACAAGAAGATTACATAGATAATAGTGAAACCAAAACTAAAATAAGAACTTTTAAAAAAAAATAATATTAAAAGTGACTCATTAATTTGCCAAACTATTTTAAAATTGAAAAATAGCTTCAATAAACATTATTCATATACTAAATTGACAATTGATTTTGCTGATAGGCCTTAATCCTATACATGTCATTATATAGCTCAATAGTACACAAGAGTGTATAATAAATAGCCTTTATATTTCCCTGATGTTGCCATAGAGTTGATATAGTAGGTAGAGGAACCAAGTCCGCTTTATTCCTTCCGAAAAGACACGCCACAGATAGCAAGCAAAGAGTTACAATCACGTGATGGANTTATTTTTTATTTAATAACAGCAATTTGTAAATCCAGTAGCATAAAAGGAAATACTATGTTTTAAAGGTAACATAGGTAGTACATATTTAAACAAATGGATTTACATAAATAAAGTAGGTTATGTATATGTGTATCTACTTTATACTAATCTGCACTTCTGAATAGATCCGCTTCAAATTATGGTATTGAATATAGTTAATCTTTATTTTGATGAGATGAACTTCTAACAAAATTTTTTGCTTAATCTAATAACGTAAAAACACCAAAAGGGGCAATAAATAATAAATAAAAATTGAATATGTTTTAGCTTAATTAATTGCGGTATACGTCTTTGAGTTTTGTGCATGATTTTTTACTGTTGATTGATACCGACTTATTGATTATTTACATTTTCCATCCAACTCACACAAAAAAGGGTATTCAGCTAGTTTATAAGTATAATTTTATAAAATAGGCATTTTAGGTCACAATACTTAAGTGCTGATTTATTTAGCACTTTACGATTGCTTTAGAAATCAAAACAGCATATTTGAATCCCTATTTCTAAGCACAGATTAAAGTTCATAAACAGATATGGTATTTTTAAGTTATCTTGGTACCAGACAAAAGTCCATGCCTTAAAATTATAGCTAAGAGTTTTAAGTATAGTTACAACTAAACTTAAATTATCAAATATCTGCCTGTTACAACTTTTAAAAAGTTTATCTTCGGAAAAATAAGTTTAGTTTGAGATTTCACTATCTATTCAAACACTAAAATTAATTAACAATTTGGCAACAATGCAATTTATATAAAAGTCTGCAAGAGTTAAATATATAATTAGCTCATGCATTGCTGACACATTTTTTATGCACTGATGCTTTGCCAGGTATCGAGAAACAGGATAAGTATTGTCCAAATAAAAAATATTAATAGACTAAAACTGGATGAGATTGTATAAAAATTAAACTATTTTATTAGATGCAATTGAGTAACCCAGATGCTCGTAATATATAATTATATATATATTTGATTAATGTGAACATACTCGTTTTTCCTATTTTAATTTAGAAAAAAATTAGTTAACAATTTAAATTTCATAAAGCATGAAATATAAAGGGCTTCGGGTAATAGAGTGGTAGAGAGTACTTTTACCAAATTTGAAATTTTTACATCACACTGTAGTTAAGCATTGTTTTTAGGTAGATACACGTGTTTCCAGAAAATCTACAAGATAACAGCCCAATACATAGAAGAGATCTCTTATGGCTCACAACAAAATGTTAGTGTGTTTCCCCAAAAATGCTCTCTAGATAAATTTGAAAAGAAAATGCTTTGTATCCATACATTGTCCTAAATCATTCATGTATGTTAGTTAAAATTTTCAATAAGAAAGGCTTACACTCTTGCAAGAGGAAAAAAATAAAAAACAACTATGGGGGGAAAAAAATCAACAAATTAACTGACATTAGAGACATCCTAGAGAGGAAGTACTTTAGAACTTTCAAAGTATTTTTACGACTTTATATAGCTATTAAACAAAACAATAATTTCCAAATTTTTTACTCAGTATTCTTTTATATCTAAAGCTGTTCATAAAGCATCAAGATTGGGCTTTTTAAAACACATTTTTAATACATACAATTACAAACACATACAATACATTCTTATTAAGGAAATAAAGCAATATACTTTTACTGAATGATTTAAATCTTTATAATAAGAAATATTATTTTAAAAAACATATCTTACTTCATTATTAAAATTTAAAAAAAAAGCAAATATTAAATATGGACTACTTTAATAAGTCCATAATTTAAAAAAATGTAGATAAAACTTACTTACTTAAATGTGTATTACAATAACGTTTGATCAATAATGAATTTACATTTTGACAAACTAGAAAAATATATCACTAACAGAATAATATTTATACATAGATATATAAATAAATTCTTTAAAAAAAAATAACGAAAATTTTTAATTATTAACTATTTTAACTTCAAATCATTAAAACTCTTTGCAAAAAAAATCATTATATTAAATAATCGTGCTTATACTACAAGGTCATTATTTTTTCAAAAATTGTTTTATTTGTTAAGTTAAAAGTACTATTTTTAAAGTTTTTTTTTTAAAGTTAACAATCAAATTAAATCTGTTGTTTGTAAATATCCCTAGTATACAACGTGTCAAAAATAAAGACTTTTATGAAATTAAAGTATTATTGATCAAAATATTGATGATTAAAGTCATAATTTAAACCTGTTTTTTTAAAATCATTAATCCTTTAAGCCTACAGACATTGGGTAAAACTGTGGCAAAACTCCTCTGTTATACAAGATTTCCATTGAAAAACACGGGGAAAATCTATTTATTGATGCAGGTATGTCACCAGCTTAAATTTCGAAAAAAAACAGGCACTAGCGCTCAGAGGGTTAACATAAAGCAAAAATAAGATAATTTGTCATGCTTTTTAATGAGATTTTTAACAATAAAAACAAAAATGCAACCATTTTAAAGTAATGAATGTTTAGAAATTTTAAATAAGCTTAATATTATGTTAGCAAAAGCTATATTTAGAGTTTAAAAAATACAAAATGCTAGCAATATTGCTAATTTTAGTAAGATATTTTTGATGTTATATTATTAAAATATATATTTTGGTATCATATAACATTGTAACACTTTGTGTACAATTTAAATAATTATTAATTAAATCACTTGATGCAGAAAAGAAATAAAACAACGAAAAACTTTCCTGTTTTAATTAATTGTTTAACGAATTGTATTAATTTACATTTTCACTAAATATATATATGAAATATACTTGCTAAAAAAACTAATTAAAGATTTAATAGCTTTAAAATTTCTGATGTTCTTTAAAATGTAATAAAGTTTAGAAAAAAAAATTCAAATTAATAACAACAACAATAAAAACGATTTAAAACTAATAATAACTACTTAAAAGGAAATTGGGTTGTAATTCTTATGAACAGCTTTTTTGAATTCCAATTGCTATACTTCTTACTTGTTTAATATGAGTATCATGAATCCTCTTACACAATATGATAATTTCAGAATGCTACATAGAAAAATATTGTAATCTATTTAAATGCAACTATAAAATAAAATGAATATTTAATTGATGATATTGAGTAAGAAATTTAAAAAATATCCACAAAAATAAAAGTTTAAAACCATTTACATGACTTAGAGATGTTATGCATTAGACATTTCAATCAATGTTTTAACATTGAAACAATTTCAAACAATGCACATACTCTAGATGAAGAGTTTTCTGATAAGTCTAAGGACAAACTGTGGTGGAAGGTTTACAAAAATGTGTTCCGTACATAAAACTCGACTATACATCTAATCCAACAATATTAGAAAAAATAGCCTTCTATAAATCCAATCATGCATTAACAATTTCTTTTTGAAAAATGTTGATTCAAAGTTCTAAAATTTTCGTGTACAATATTTAGAGAAATAAGTTTCACATTATTCTCTTGCATATAGTTTAAGTAATGTTATTGTTTCAAGGGAAAATAACCCTACAGGACTAAAATAAGCTTGACAATAGTTAGGAGGTTACCACATGCTGATTAAGTTTTTTTTTTCTTCATCAGGAGTAGAAGTAACAGTTCCTCTACTTGCATCTCATACCCTCAAACTCAGTTTGTTTGGTAGGTGGTCAAAAGTGCAGCATCAACAGGTTCCATGCAAGATGGGCAAGTAAAAGATCTCATGAGCCAGTCGTCAATGCAATCAGTATGATAGATATGCATGCATGGCAAGAACCGGATGGGATCCCCAAAGAGGAATTCTCCCATACAAATGACACATCTGAAACAAAACAACGGATAAGATTTCAAAACTGTGGACCTCTATTAGGTACACAAGATCTTTACTAGACAAACATTAGATCTTGCGGATCTAGAAGCATAAGATCTTGCTGATCTAGTGCTTCTAGTTTCTTCTTCAAAAAAGGGCTAAAATTTATCTCTTATGGATGGTTTCTTATCTATATTTTATTTTTATAACCGTCATTGAACAGCTGACCCTATTTTCTTGGGTTTATGACTACTAATGTTCAACTCCGCAGTGTCATAATTTTGAACCTAATTCAGAAGACAAGGGAACTCCTGGATCAAGTATTCGGAGAAATTTTGCCTTTGTGGAGGATTTTTTTGATGGATCTCACTCGCATTTGCGTTACATGGAGAGGAAGACCGCGAAAGCCTCCCACGGTTAGCCCGACTGCAAGGGAACTCTTACCTCAATGGAAGGTAAATGCTATATCGCCTCTATCTTAAATGCCCCGGGGAAAAAAAATCTGATTGGTCTAATTTAAGCACAGGAGTCATACCAAATTCAATAAGAATAACCCTTATATTCCCAAAAATGATGAATTGAAAAACATTATTAATTCAGTTTTAAACTGTTCTGTTATTGCTTTTTTATCAATAGTTATTTTAAACATTTATAAAAGAATTATCATGTAATTTGAAAACAATGAACTAAATGTTTTGAAAATCTTACAGTGGAATGAATTAAGGAAAAATTGCAACTTGAAAGTTGTAATTTTGTAAATGTAATCAGAACCTGCTTCACAATCTAAACATTGTAAAACTCTTCCAGTATAAATAAATAAAAAAAGATTTACTTGCAATAAATTTAAAACATATTAGAGTTACAAAAAAGAGATCATATCAAATACCTGATTAATGATTTATATATTGCTAGCAGATAGAAACTACAGAAGTATTTAGGTAAGATTAATAATTGGATAAAAGTAATTTTCTTCAATTAAATCTTCAAACTGAAGTAAAATGTATATAATAATTATCATACTATGAAAACATTGAACGATTCTCTAGATACATTTGTATCAATATGACAAGTTGGGATTAATTCAAATTATTTGTTTTCAATTTAATTATTTTTAAAATGATATGTTATAAATAATTTTTTGGTGTTAAATACAAATTTGTCTTTAAAATTAAAAGATAAGGTATAATATTTTTAAATTAATAAAACATATAAAGTTTTGCACACTTTGCATAATTATAGTGGATTTTGAACTTTTTCTGTTAAAATATTATTTTTCAACTGTATATAAATTATTTGAGCGGAGAATCTCAGTGGTTAAGGGACTGAACTGCTGTTGTGAAGAACTGGGGTTTGATCCCTAGTGGAGGCTGAAAGCCCACCCAATTTCAGATCAATGGGTACCAGTTTGTCTAGGAAGCAGAGGCAGCAATGTGTGCAGTGCTGACTACATTGTCACAATCATGGCATTGGTCACAAAATTATGGAGTCGTAACCTCTATGACCACCCGGTCTACAGCGGGCTGTTGCTGGGATGATTTACTTTATATAAATTATTTGATTTACTTTATATAAATTATTTGAATATCTAATTTTTATATAAATCTAAATCTATAAAAAATAAAATAATAATTCAAAAGGCTTTTTGACATCTTGAATTAGAATTTCCTCTCTCTATATTTTTATCAAATTATATAAACTGAATATTGTTTAAAAAAATAGGTGATAGATATGTAATTTTATCCAATTAGTTATCGGCTGGCAGGCAAAAGGTCACACACTGACCAGTCAAGAATGCATTTGACCCTCTGGACTGAATGCTTTGCATCCCTAATATAAAGCAACCATAAGAAATTAAATTCTGGTACTTAGAACAATTTCTCACAATGCAAATAAACAATTTCTCCATAATAGTTAATTATTCATAAAATTGTTTCTCCACAAAAATAAAAAAACACTTAATATATACCAAAAGGCGATAAAAATTTTTGAAAAATTGTTCCCATAAGAAAAATGATGGAAATAGTAATAGATATAAAAATGTTATAAAAATTAATAATTTGCATACTCTCTATTTTTCTTGCTTCCGTCATATTTACCAACAGGTAAGTGCTGAATCAATCCAATTCTTTGGGCAATTTTTATTTGCTCTTCTTCAGTTAATTGTGATGCAGGACGACTGACATTGGGAGATGGATAATATACAGGTACTGACACTGTTTCCTACAGAAATATACTCACATTTAAGAAATTGCCAATTTTCAATAAATTAAACAAGCAAAAAAATTTCAAATTTTCAAATTTTCGATGAAAATATTATTTTTTTCAATAACATAATTTTGCTTTTATTTGAAACTTGATCTATAAAAGAGAAAACACTAAATTAAAATTATTTTTTTATTTTTGAAGTATGTAGTGTATTCTTACTCTAATTGATCCTACTAAACTAATTGTAAAAGTATAGTTAAGAAAAACAATCAAGTGAACACTTCTTTGAAGAAAAAATTAATAAATATATAAAAAGTTGTCAACAAAATACTTTCAAAACTTTTGTATTTTAGAATATATTCCTAAATCTCGTATAATAATCTTATAATTCTAATAGAAAAACTGAATTAATAATTTTATCTTGGTAGACCAAAAATCTGAAAAAAAAAGAAAAAGATAATTTGCTTTTTTTTCGGTTTAGTAGTTATTAATAATTTGTTTAAAACGAAATTTGTTATAAAAAAAGTATAGTTCTTAAAAGAATAAAAGTAAATTAATGAGAGTGATACTTGTTAAAGAACAGAAAATTGAACTTTTAAAATTTTTTTATTTTTTTTAAAAATTATATTCTCGTAAAATAAATGATATTGCAATAACAGGCTGAATCAAAAGCATTATGTTTATAAGTATAGATCGAAAAAACAGCAATAACTCTTATATGAGTACGAAACGCAAAACAATAATTTCTAATAAAATTAATCATTTATGAATAAAATTAATTATTTATGAATAAAAGTAATAACGTTAAAAAATTCAAATAGTTTAACTTCTTTAAAATTATTTCCAACTAAAAAAAAATTTAAAACATAAAACTTTATTAAAACATTAATTTTAGTGATTTTTTTAAATCTATTAATTACTTGATACGGTGGTGGGGGCCCTAGCTGATCAGATGAAGATTCTCTTGCGCTCTGATTTTCTCTTAACAAAGAAATATCATCAGTTGAAACAGATTTTAAGCAGTTCCCCATTTTTAATTGATATAGTAAATGTATCAGGGCAGTAGCACCAGTGAAAGTAGTCCGACAACTACGAAACTCTAAATGTGACCATCATAACAAAGGAATGGGTCTGGAGAGATTGCTATCTAATTTTTATTGAGCTCTTTTAAATGAATTTTGCACTCAAGTTGGTGCATTTGTAATGGAAAACTTCGGGGAAGTAGATAGCATGCCAATTGTTGAAGTATATATACTTCAGAGCAGAAAAATATTATTTATCAACAATGGAACTATCGTCAACACAAAACAGCTGAGGACAGACAACAAAGATGCAATACAACAACCAATAGGAAACTAGTAAACATTGCAGGCCTATTAAAGTTTATCTTCTTCTCACGTATCGAATGAATTTCGTATGAAATAGTTGATTTTTTATTCTGTCCATTTAGCAAAATCATCCATAAGTATATTTTTAATGATATATAATCTTTATAGCTAAAAGATTTTCACATTTCCTGCGAAAAATTAATATGAAAATAATTTTTAATAATGACTGCAAAATTAACTGTGACTGTTTCTCCAAAGAGTTCGAATCTAATGTTTATTTACATTTTAAGTTTTGTTTTGGTCGTTCTTGGATATCGCATGATATTTGCATTTCATGTTAGCACTGTCTATGATTTTAGTTTTAGTTATTTGAAGTTGCGTTGTTTGAAAAAATAATGGTATTATTGTTATTTAATTCAAGTAAAATTTGTAATGGTGTAAGAAAATGAACAAGTAAAACAAATTTTTTAAACTTATTACTCTAGTGAAGGCTTACTGCATTGCGTTTCCAATAACGTTAACATTATAACTTTAATCGGTTGCTATGACTTTATATTGGAATTATTCTGTTTATATGAAATAATATTTTATTAATCTATAAAATAGGTGGAAGCAATACACTTTGCATAGTGAATGAAAGCTGCATTTTAGCGCTATTTGGTTTTATGAAAAATTTAGTTTATTATACAAAATGCAGGATAGGAATACATTTTTTTTTTGAAGTGGTATTCTATATAAGCTTATTGTGATGCTTTATGTGTGTATTTTTCTTATTTTGTAAATTTGAAGGCAATTATAAGTTAATGTTAGATTTTCACTTAGTTTTATTAAATTTGAATGACTTTTAAGTTATTTAGTGTTTAAGGAAATGAGTACAGAATTTTTGTATTTAAATTAAGGAAATTATAATTATTTATCAGTTACGTAGTTATATAAAATTGAACATAGTAGAGTAATGTGTGTTATTATTTTCTAAACAAAATTCTTAAGTTTTCTTTTTATGGTATACCTAGTTTATGTTAAACATTTCTACTACTTGTTTAAGTAATTAAGTTTTCCCTTAATTTCCTAGCTTTTTCCTTAAGATAAGAAAAATTTAATTAGATAAATTTAAAAATTGTTTTGTGATTCAAAATTTTTATTTTGTTTTTAATAATTATCATTAGTATTTTTTTTATTTATTTAATTACCGTTATCACCCAAAAATAAACAAAATTATAGAAAAAATAGTTCAATATCATTTAGCCCAGTTTATGGAAAAATACCATGTTTTTAAAATATTTCCTTTATTTTTCAGGAACAAAGTCTATCACCTGAGTTTAAACATTTAAAACTTAAACCTATCTGCAAGCCAGATGTTCCTTTGAAGCAATCAAGATTCACAAGTTTTGATGAAAATTCTCTTTCAATAAAGTATAATTTTTCGTTCTGAAAGATATTATTTATTTTCGTAAATTTCCTTTTGACTAAATGATTTAAATTCATTTTATCATTATTTGTTAAAAAAATTTAAAGTTTTTTTTTTAGCATTTAACTAAAGTTTTTTAGTGCAGTGTCAACTGCGTATTAAAATCATGTCGGTTCTCAGCACATTTGATTTTAAAAACCAGAATGTTAAACATTATAAATGCTGTATAAGCTAAATCAATTAAAAAATTTAAAATTTATATATAAATTCCTTTCCTGTCTCAAACTATCAATTTGTCAGATTTTATATGATGAATAGTTTATGGGGCATAGTGATGATCATTCATTTTCAAGCTTACCTATTTACGATTTTTTTTTAATCTTTCACCTATTTATTTTTTGTATATATAGTGTAATTATTAGAGAATATATTTCTTTCTTTACCTTTCTACTTTATAAATATTTTATGTAAATGAGAGAATTTACAGATTTTTTTTGGTAAATCTTTTTGATAATTTCTTGTATTTATATGTTTTTTTATTCAAAATAATTTGTTTTATAACAAAATAATTTAATATAAATTTTATTCACAGATATTCATTTGGGTATCAGTGTGACTTTGGACCCAATATATGTATGCTTAATAGGGATATTTTAATATTGATTTCTGGAAACTGCCTGTGTTTGTTCGATGTCACAACACAAAACAAAATGTTCTTACCTTCTGTTAATGGAGTTGGATTTAGCAGTGTAAATGTAAGTCTTTGCTTTTGAAAAATGTATTTTTTTATGTGCTCTGTAGTTTTATATTTATCATTAATTTTTAAACTTTTTTATAAGGCACATCCTTCAGAATGTTATTTTGCTGCAGCTGAAAAAGGGCAAGAATTATGTATAAATATTTTTGATTATCCTTCCTTGGAGGTCTGCAAAACATTAAAACATGATATCAACCTTATGAAAACTCATCTTTTGTCATTTGAGTAAGTTACTTGTTTTGTCAAAGTATTGAATGTGTAACAATCAGGGTTGGGTTTTTGCCGTCAAAAACTGGTTTTTGACATGACAGTGGTAAAAACCGTCAAAAACCTACTGTTTTCATTAATTTATGGCATATAGCGGACAATATATTATTTTCACATAATTGCCTTTATAAATGAATGTTGTAAATGATTGCTGTTGATTTTGCAACTATATACACGTATTCTTTAGAAGGATATACATTCATATAGAAATATTGTAATATACTTATTGAAAATAGTGATACTTACTTTTATTATTATAGCTTGATTTGCAAAGGATTCAAAATTTTGCACTTCTTAATTGTTAGAAATAAACAAAAAAGCTTGGAACTATTAATAAATTCAAGAACTAAAAAGAAGAATTTAAAATTTGGCATTTCTTAAATATTAGAAATAAGCTA